AGGAAGCAGGCTTCCAAGAGTATACAAACTCTAAGTGAACGACAGTTCACGTGTCCCTGGTCTGAGGGGACGAAGTACTCAACTAATGCCGTGCGTTGCCCGGGAAGCTCTGGATATTTACGTATCGAAACGCTACAAATACAAGTAAATAATACCGTACCGTATAAACATCAATGATGTTATTACCCGTAGAGTGCATTCTCTGTAATCATCTAAAAAAAAAAACAATGAAAAATTGGAAATTACAACTTGGAATTGTTAGTATTTTAGTATTTTAATACTATAAACCTAAACATTCATTGCCTTCTCATACATGTAATTAGTTAAATAAAGGAAAAGGGAAGAGATAGAGAAGCTCATTCCAAAAGATTCAGGAGTGATATATACCGCAAGCTACACACTTGAAGTTACTGCCTGTGTGAATCTAGGATCGCAATGCAAAAACTCTCCTTGCTATAGCACATTTATCACTTTTGAGTACGGCACAGAGCCATACAGCGTCACTCGGTCGAGCAGTCAGTACTTCTCCCTCATTTTTTCCACTGAGAGCCTCTTGGCGGCGTCTCCTGCAATTAGGAAAATTACTCTAGGTCTACCATAGGGGTAGCTCGAGCAACTACACCGATTCTCTTTCCGATACACCAGACTGGAGCTGTAACTTGGTCGTTATATTTACGTGGAACTGTTGTGGGTGTTGTAAACTTGGTGGCCACTGCGTTAAGGTTTCTGGACACTTTGTCCGCACGTAGTGACGCTCGTAATACTAAAATTTCTCTACAAGTGTGGGAGACACGGGGCGAACTATGAATATTTTTACATCTAAGCAACAAATAAATTGTCGTTTTACTGTTTTCAACGTCCCGACTTTTTACTGTCATTTTCCAGTAAAAAGTGAACATGCTATTACGAAACGTTTCTTTTTATCACTTGAATGGTGCACAAAGACTACCGCGGGCTAGTCAAGGTTAAAGCAAAAGTGGCGAAGGAATGGACAGTAGCGGTGTTGTCCGTGTTCTGCCAATGACGTCCGAAATGGAGTAGCTGCTATGGCCCATGCGTGGGATGAAGGTCACCTGGTTGGGGAGCACGGGAAGAAGGCTAGGGCTCCAAAGAAGGCAAAACGGAGTAAGCTGGCGTTTTCAGCTCGCTGAACAACTGTTAGGGACTGGCAATTAACACGGACAACCCTTGCCGCACACCATATAAAAATATATAATGTAGTGTCCCCCCTGTAAAGTTGGTCGAGTTAACTTGAACACATTAAGTCGACTGGCCACTTAAAGTAATGCCCCCCCTTTAAAGTTATCCGAATTAAATTGAACATGGCCAAGCGGTCAAAGTGAACATTATGTCGACTGGTGAAGGGGTTTAAAGTTGGCCGAGTTAGCTTGAAGATGGCCAAGCGGTCAAAGTGAACATTATGTCGACTGGTGAAGGGGTTTAAAGTTGGCCGAGTTAGCTTGAAGATGGCCAAGCGGTCAAAGTGAACATTATGTCGACTGGCGAAGGGGTTTAAAGTTGGCCGAGTTAACTTGAACATTAAGTCGACTGACCAAGCGGTCGAGTTAACTTGAATCCAGATTCTATTCTGCAGCGCGTGACGATAAGTTATCAGTAGATGTTGCTCCAATGTTAAATGATTTTCGCTTTAGTGACAGTTCGCACGAATGTTGTTCTTCACCGGTTGGGTCAACATTGACTCAATTTCGCATAGAGTATCAGATACCATCAAATATCCCGTCGGTTAATCTTACCCGCTGTAAGGAAGTAAGATTTGAGTGGTTACACAAGCAGAAAAATATTTGTTTATATAGGATCTTCGAGGGGTCTCGAACCCACCTAAGACTCTGGATATAAATATCCAGAGAATTGAGGGTACGTTTAAGACTGAATGTATTTATAGGTAAGCACACTTGGGTTCGTACCCCGTTACAGATCTTCTTTTATTAATAGCTGAAGATTCTTCTATCGAACAGCGAGCGATGCTGCTCAAAGGCTGTCTGTCCTCTTGTTTCCAATAACGAAACAGAGATTGGTGCGGGCAGGATTGAAACAATTCAGCCCGTATCAATCTCTCTACTACAGTGTGTTAATGATGATGATGCCAGTCTGCTGCAATAGATATTTTCATGTTGTCTACTGGGCTGAGTATCATTAACCCCAGAAAGCACAGTAGGAACCAGTGCGCTCGCTGCGGCATCCTCCGCGCAATTTTTCAATCGCTGCGCAAAAGGTTTCTGTGAGCATGCCTCGCTGGAAGCTTACGGCTTTCCCCGATGATCGATATGTAGATAATTTCATCTAGTGTCACTTGAATTCATGAATTCACAAGAGGAGCCGAAACGTTGGGTAGAGTCTATGCTATTGGCTGGTGTTCGTGTACCGCGTTGCGCTGGCGACCTCCGGCGACATGGGTACACGTTCATTCTGCTTTTAGCGCAGTTCTGCTTTTAGCGCAGTTCTGGGAACAACCACCCTCACTGGACCGATCTGCAGGCTTCGCCCACCGCTGCCATGGCTTCCAAGCCACCTGCAGGCTTCATGCCGATTCTCCAGCGAGAAGCTCCGTACCAGGATCTCGACACGCTGGCAGCTTTCGTGCTACCGTTGATTCAGCCTCTTCATGCTCCACCTGTGGCAACCCAGCAGCGGCATCGACTCAAGGGCAAGAGCAAGAGTCGACCCACGACCAGTAGCGAGCGAGGCATCAAGTTCCGTCATCGGCAACAGGAGAAGCAGATCGCATTGCTCTCGAACAATCAGATGCTGCGCCAGCAAGTGCTGCGACTTCAAGATCTGCGGGACATGCGTACGCAACAGTCGCTCTCGACGCCCTACTCGGCCGCCGGATCATCGCCCATGAACTTTGTCATGGAATATTTCAACCAGTTCCGTATCGGACTGAGTGTCCCCGGAGCCCCAGCGAACGTGCTATCATCTGACAAGCAAAGAAGCTTTTTGAACGCGATGATCGAGCCTCATACCACACTGGGAGGCAAGCCTGCAGCCAACAGGATCCTCAGCGTCTGGGAGAGCTATTCAAAATTCCACTCGTCCGTCAAGCTCTCGTGCGACTCGACGGAGCTGATCACCGCCGACAATTGCTCGAGTGTCGTCGTCCATGGCACTCTACACTTGCGTTACTCGCGACGCACCATTGAGAACGTGTATCCTCATGCCGTTGCAGAGGAGGATCTCATTCAGATACTAATAGGCAGACAACTGCATGTACACTACAGAGCTGAGATGCACTTCAACTCGAAGGGAAGGCTGGAGTCGTACGCGATGTCGCCGGACTTTGTGGGGGCGCTCATGGAGATTCTCCGCAGCTGGAGGGACTGTGAGAGGATATTAGGTCGCGCGCTGATCAAAGGACACGTGCTCGGTGAGGAACCCGAGCCGGAAGTGGACATGGAGCCTGTTGAGATTGTGTCGGACGCGGAAATTAAATCTGATGTTCAAGAGACCTCTTCATCGTCGATACTTCACCAGATCGAGGAGACAGAGGAGCCAGCTCGAACAACTTCGCGGGCAATGAAGCTTGACTACATTCTGTCGTAAGAAGCGTGCTGGTAGCAAGCAATGTTGGAGCTCTTTCAATTTGAAAAACTTGTGTTTAAAAAAGCACTGACGCTAATAATAATAAAAAAGGTTTCTTTGCGGCAGCTACCGATGCCTGCTTTCGTTTGCACACGTACTGATTTGTTGTGTCGACTCGGCAAAGATATCCGCGGTGGGAAAACCACGAAATGGTCGAAGCATAACCAATGCGACCTGAGCTGATAGCGGAGGAGTAGCAGTGTATTCTACAGTTATCAGTTTTGGTTACACCAAACAGTTATTCATCTCTTGTTCCAATGCGAGAGCTATAAACTGCCTAATAAGTGAGCGTCTTCAAGAAATAAAACACAATCTAAACCAGGCACTCGTTGAAAGCGTCGTGCTCCAACACCTGCTCGATCGTCAGCCGTTTGTTGGGGTCGATTTCCAGCATACCCGACACCAGTTGCAGCGCGCTGCTTGGAATGGAGTCGGCTACACCCCAGGCCTCCAAAACTGTAGCGGTACCTGCCTGTCTAAGTGCCCGAAACGCTTTGACTGACATGGACGCGAATGACACGAGCGGGGAACCCGTGAGCATGATGAAGAGAACGATGCCTAAAGACCACACGTCAGCTGTCTTGGGGTCATACATGACACCTGCAACGATCTCAGGCGCCATGTAGTATTTCTTGCCCACGTGTCGACCACTGGCACGTTGAGCACGTGTAGCCAACCCGAAGTCTCCTAGTTTACATCGTCCACGGTGTAGCATGATATTCTCGAGTGAGACGTCCCGGTGGGCAATGCCATGCCGGTGAAGGAAGGCCAGACCCGCGGCGACTTGAGATAGTACGCTCAGAGAGTTCATACAGGGCATGGTCTGTTGTCTGCGGCGACTCAAGTAGTCGTACATATCGCCGTCGGAGCAGTGCTCCATTACGAGGTAGAGCGTCTGATGCTCTACGAATGAGTCTGCGTAAGTGACAAGGTTGGGGTGACCTCCCGCTGTGCGGATGATGTCGCCAATCTCCTTTTCAACAATGGGATTGTCTGGTATGTGAGCATCCGGCGGGTGATCTCGCATGAAAGTGGCCATACGCTGGAGTGAAATCTGCTTGATAACAACGGACACATTGGTGGCCGAAGGTGGGGCTGGTTCGAGTCGCCCACGCATGTCTTCGCAGACGAAAACCCATCCATAGAGCGTCGAGCTGAGCTCACGGATGACTCGGTATCGGTCGTGAATGACTGGCATAATATGCTGTTCAAGGAGCTCTTTGCTGTCTGAGGCTAGTGAAAAGTGAAATGCTGCCTCCTGCGATTGAGCACGAGCAGCTTATTAATTTACTGACTCGGCTGGATGTTTTTTTGGGTTGCGGAGATTGTGGAAGGAAGAGTGATGGAGTTAAATCGGATCTGTCTGGTCAACGATGTGCAACTGGCTCCGTTCGGCTTCATGAGCATTGGAGGCCGGAGGCGTCCGACGCGGTTAAGCAACAAGGATTCATTTGTATGATACACACCCCGGGTCCGTCCCATGAGACGAGTTTGTGCTGTCCCTGGTGACGTTGAAAACGAGCAGCGAGCTGCTGGCGAACGGCGCTGATTCTTGGGGTGAGTTGGCGAAGGATAGAGGCACCCGGAGAACGTTTCGATAGACTGGTCTTTGGAGAACATCGCCGTCGAGCTCGGACAACCGCAAAACAATCCAGCCAACCTAGACAATTCTCGTGGGCATTGTTTGCGTTTTTGGTAATTCGTCATGCGTAAGCGCCTTTCCATCCGTCCAGGACTTGGGATGTTGTGGGCGAAGGCTGCTGTCTTCGCTGTAGAGCCCGAAATCAGAGCGGTGACGTACTGAATTGTTGTCAGCCCACCCGATCGTCGATATCGATGAACGCGTAATAAAACCAGCTACGCTGTTCTACTTCGACCGAATGAATCGCATTGATCCGGCAAGGCCCCTATCCTTCCAATACTTGAATTCTCCGTCAACATGCTTGGGCTGCTTTCCTCGGTAAGTCGATCCTTGCAGCGTTGTTGCTCCTTACCATTTATTTTCGAGTCAACAAAACGAAACTCAATCCCATGCAAGAACAGTGTAGCGGGAGCTGGAGAGCTGCTCACGCGAGCTGACTTTAATATTACTTCCTCTGGATGGAAATGATTGAAAGAATCGAAATCAAATTCGTCTCAATTGGTCAAAACAACGTTAAATTTAATGCTAATTGGTCAAAATATTGCGCTGCGTCTCAGCCAACGATTGCAACAAACCGCAACTCAATCGAAGATCTGTAACTCGAGTTATGCCCAGCCAAGCACACGACATTTCACTTCCATTTTACTTTTTTACCCGCTGCATCTGCAATACTACACTGAAAGCACCTGAAACATGCCGACGGCAAACCTTACCGATGACGAACGCCGCCAAATCCTGGATGAGCTGCTGAAGCAGAGTGTGGGCGGAGAACTGCCACGAGGAGTCCAAGCCAGAGTTGCCAGAGAATTCAGGTGCTCCGACGCCTCTATTGGCAGGATATGGCACCGGTTCCGTGAGACGGAAGCCAACGACGGTCTGGAAGAATGGAAGAGTCGTATTAAGCAGAATTCCGGCCGGAAAAAGAAGAATCGCGACGAAATCGCCGCTAAAATCCGGGCTGTTCCTATTGAAGAAAGGAAGCCATATCGGCCACTTGCTCACGCGGCAGGCATATCCAAGTACTTAGTGCAAGCACTTATACGTGAGGGTGTTTTGAAGGTGCATTCAACTCACATTACACCCTACCTGACGGAAAATAACAAGTTTCGTCGTATAGAGCACGTCCTTACATACATTGACCCTACAAGCCTCATGTTCGAGCCGATGTACGACGTAGTCCACGTCGATGAGAAGTGGTTCTATGAGGATGTTAATAAGCGCTCGTGCTTAGTATTTGAAGACGAAACCCCGCTCCAGCGTAGCCGACGGAGTAAGAACCACATCCCAAAGACCATGTTCCTCGCTGCAGTGGCACGTCCAAGGTAAACATTCTGCAATTTAATATTTTTCCAACATTATATTTACTAAATTCCTATATTTTTTAATACAGGTTGGACCCACATTGTAAAAAGGAATGGGACGGTAAAGTTGGATTGTGACCGTTAACTGAGAAGTATATAGCGCTTCGTCGAATCAAATATTACAGCTCGTGGTGAAGAGGGCATTCGTAATATTGATTCTATTAATCAAGAAGTCTACAAGGGTCACTTACTGGATCATGTCATTCCCGCTATCAAGTTGAAGTGGCCCCGCCGAGAAAAAAAGAATGTAATTCTGATTCAACAAGATAACGCAACTCCCCACATTAGTCCAAGCGACCCAGAAGTTTTAGCTGCGGGGACTGCCGATGATTGGAATATTCGGCTTTCCTACCAGCCTGCAAATTCACCCGACACAAATGTCTTGGATTTGGGACTGTTCGCCTCTTTACAGGCTCTTCAGCTTCAACAACCGGTCTATGGCATTCAGGCCCGCATAAAGTCCGTAGAGGATGCATACAAAGCCATGGACGAAGATACGCTTGACGATATTTTTCTTACTCTTCAGAAGTGCATGGAATGTATACTGAAGGTAGATGGAAGTAATGATTACAAGCTGCCACACATGGGTAAAGTAAAACTTCGAAAAGAAGGTAAACTCCCGAAGAGTTTTGTGTGTGACCGCCATGCTTATACAAGTGCCCTTGCCATCCTCGAAAAGGCAGGTAGGCCATTCTTGTTCTAGTGTCAAGTGTCAATAAATACCTGTCCAAATAGATAATACTCACCACATCATCTTTGTACACAAAATAAAACTCCATCACTGTCATATTGCATTCTTTCAATCATTTCCTTCCAGAGGAAGTATCTTTTTTATGAAGAAACCTATTGAGACTATCCCGATACTACGACATCAGAAAAAAACTAAGTCTAATTCTGCGCTAACGAGTTAAACCACTCGTTCATGGCAGCATGCTCCAGCACCTGCTCGACCGTCAAACGCTTTCGAGGGTCAATCTCCAGCATGCCCGCCAGCAACAGTAGCGCGTTGCTGGACATGGAACCTGCTACGCCCCACGACTCCAATACAGTGGCGATACCAGCTTGCTTGAACGCTCGAAACGACTTCACAGTCATGGACGCCAGCGCAACCAGGGGTGATCCCGTCAGCATGATGAAGAGCACGATGCCCAGCGACCACACATCTGCAGCCTTGGGATCGTACGGGCCGCCCGTAACAATCTCGGGTGCCATGTAGTATTTCTTGCCCACATTACGGCCACCGCCTCGTCGTGCTCGAGTAGCCAACCCAAAATCTCCAAGTTTACACCGTCCGCGGTGCAACAAGATGTTCTCTAACGAGATGTCCCGATGTGCGATGCCGTGCTGGTGCAGGAAGGCCAGGCCTGCAGCCACTTGTGATAACACGCTCAGCGCGTTCATGCACGAGAGGGTGCGTTGCCGACGTCTGCACAGATAGTCGTACAAGTCGCCATCAGCGCAGTGTTCCATGACAAGGTATAGCATCTGCTGCTCAATGAACGAGTCGGTATACTGCACAAGGTTCGGGTGTCCACCAGCGGCTCGAATAATGTCGCCGACTTCTCTTTCAATGATCGGATTGTCTGGAGTGTGGCCGTCGTACGGGTGCTCCCTCATATACTTAGTCATGCGCTCAAGCGATATCTCCTTGATGACAACAGGAGCGATGGTGGGGGCGAGGTCTGTCATCTTTCTTTTTTGCATGTCCTCGCAGGCGAAGACTCGCCCGTAAAGTGTCGAGCTGAGGCTGCTGACGACTCGATATCGGTCGTGAACCACCGACATGTTGAAGAGAAAAAATGTGTCGGTAGTTTGAAGGCTTGGTAAGGATGCGACGGAAAGCGGAGTGAGGTTGGGAACGGGTGACGACTGCAAGACTTTGCAAGAAGATTGCAGTTCCAGTGAGCGGTCGGGCGCTTAGGGACGTTGGGCAGGCAGTTTTTCAAGAGCGTGGGAGCGCGTACAACTATTTTGGCGAGTTCCAGCAGCAATTGTATGAATGATTTGGTTGACACCTGACACAGTCATTCTTGTGTTTACCGTTAGTATAATAGAAAGCAGAAGAAGTGAATGTCGCCAAAAGTGCTTCGAGTCTTATATTTGCGCTACGTTGGAGAATCGATCTACAGCGGTTGTCGCTTCCGCCGGTGCCAGTAATATCCAGCGGACTGTAGCGATCTGCTGCCCAGCAACAAGCGGTAATGAATAACTGTATTGTTTCGCTGACAACGAACGCTATAGGCGTTTATTCGTGTACATGTAACGCTATAATACATTGCACCTGCCACTTTTAGCTCGCGCCTGTCCTCACCTCAGTCATCTGGCCCCAGTGATTCACTGGCGGTGAAACGCAGGCGAGATGACGCGAAGAATCCAGCGACCACTCCATTCGAGCCTCCAAAGTTACGCGCGGCTACACTTGATCTTAGCTGAAAGGTCGAGAAGGTTTGTGCAACAACTAACAAAATCTCCAAAAAACGGCTGTGAAGTTGTATATATGTGGTTCACATCAATTACCTATTTTAACGATTATTATATCACCAAATATCCCATTTCGTGGTATTGTTTAAACAATGCTGGTGGCGGCGCGGCGCTGCATTCGCGTTGGCGCGCTGCAGCTCGCGTCTGCTCCGACCCACATATTGTCTGTCAGCCCACCTCTATTGCAATACAAGCGTAAGAATGCGCGCTTCTTCTCTTCGGATCTCGATGCGTACCGCGCGCCTACAGTCGCCGTACCATGCAGCGCCAATGTGTGGACGAAGACTGTGAACCCGGCACTTCGCACGTTCCTCAAGCTCCGAAACCACGTGATGGTTCCGATCTCCTTCGTCGTCCCAACTGATGACGACAATTGGCCTAGAGAGACCCATGGTTACCCTCTAGGTAAGCACGCGGAGTGGCTGCGTCGGCGTTGGAGAGAAATGAAGGACCTACCAGAGTTCACCGTGCAGGACCTGAAGGAGCTCGATTTTGCCTTCGATCTCAGCCAATACAAGTGGGATCACTTCGTCAAGCCCGCGCTGCACCATTATTACGAACTTCACCAACACACTGACGTTCCCCAGATGTTTCAAGTCAAGCACGGAGACGCTGACTGGCCTGAGAGACTGTGGGGCTTCTATCTCGGCCCACGGGTCTTCAATATCCGCCACCGTGGCGATTTCCAGGCGCAGATCCAACAGGACGCTCAGGAAATGGCTGAGATCAACTTCTGCTATGACTCCACCACGTACGATCGCGACTGGCGCGAGAGAGTTTTACCGTCGCTGGAGGTATTTCGCCAGGAGTTCGGACACTGCGATGTGCACAGACCATTCAAGGTCCCGAATTGCCCACCGTGGCCTAAAAGTGCTGCTGGAATGCTGTTGGGAGTCGTTGTCAACAATATCCGGAGTAAGGGCTATTACGCTGTGCAAGTCACCCGAGACATTGCAGCATTGGAGAAAGTCGAGTTTGTATGGGATCACTCCTCCACGGAATGGAACGACCGTATTTTCCCAGCGTTGGAGACATTCAAACGCAAGCAAGGCCATTGCCACATTATGAAAACCTTTGTAGTGCCGTCTACGGAGTCGTGGCCTGCAAAGTCGCACGGACTCAAGCTCGGGATCGTCATCAACAACATCCGCTCGTATTCCTACTATTTCGACCAGATCGCTCGAAATGTGGATCAACTGGAGTCAGTGGGCTTCGATGTGCAGATTGCCAAGGTTAAGTGGGATCGACGTGTCGAGCCGATGCTTGCTACGTTTCAAGAGCTGCATGGTCATCGTAATGTTCCAACCGATTTCGTTGTACCGTCAGAGGACCCATGGGACAAAAGCGATTGGGGTGTCCAGCTCGGTAAGCTAAAGCTGAAGGAGAAGTACACGTAGAGAAGGTCCTAAAAGCAGGGTATACCTAGCTACGTCTTGGTTGTTGTGGTGGGAGCATAGAGAAACTTGCAGCACAAATCAAATAAAATGATCACTGTTGGGGTCTATAGTTCTCGACGTCAGTAGTGGTTACTCTTCCGCGTGCCATGGCCAGCACGAGCTGCACGCATGCGACCCATTTCGCTGTTGCCTTCGAGTTCGTCTACAGGTTCTGGCAGTTCCTTCAGTCTTCCTTTAACCATCCACAGCAACATACCGCTAACGCCAACTAGAGTGATAGCAAGGATGAAGGTGATGTAACTCACGGCAACGGCTCCATTTGCCTGTCCGCTCTGCCCACTCATGAAGAAGCCCATGAGCACTGGGATGAACACTTCGCCCATTCCACAGCCGAATACAATGAGCGACGACACGCGTCGGATAAGTTGCTCATTAATCACACGCGTCAAGCAGTGGATACTCAGCGTAAAGAGCGGCGCCAGTGCGAACGAGAAGAGGAAGAGACATATCGTGAAGGTGATAAGACCCGCTTGAGCACCGAATAGAAGCCCGAATGAACTCGCTCCACACACGACAGTACAGACCACGATAGAGTAGAGATTCCTGTCATGGAACAAGAACCTCGGGAGGACCACATACGACACCGTCAACGATCCCCAAAACAACACCATGGCCGCACACTGCCACACTGCTTTGCTGCTCTCGTTTCCTGCGTCGACACTTCCAGATCCAGATATTTGAGTTGCTGCCAACTTGGTATCCTCTGTAAGAACGGTGCCGATGTAGTCGTACAAAAAGGCAGCGAGTCCGAGCTGGATGCCGAAAAGCACAGTGGCGAAGATGGTAACGAGCAAGATAATGAAGTTGTTCTTCGAGTCATACGTGTCCGGATTGCAGTTCTTCGAGCCGCTGATGTGCTGGGCATGCAAGAAGACGCCGCCCACTATTGGACTGGGAACGGTAGGCACACGACGCGTGGGGTCTTCAAAAGACAGTAATGTCTGATGCTCGTCACGTCCATAGTAACAATGTGGGCTCGGCAGCGTAGCGACTAGTACAGCAGGGAACACTATCATGATGGCTAACCCAAAGAAAGCGTAGCCGAGATCGATGTCCAGCTTTGTGAGCACCAGCGCCACAATTGCACCCAACAAACAGCCGAGCCCGTAGTTGATGTTCATGGAGGTAATAATGCTGCGTCTACGTTGGTCCTTCTCTCCAGCAATCCACAGAGAACACCGATTTAGTCTGCCAAAATACAATTACAGCAGTATAAACCCCGTTAGTTTCTAATAACCACAGCAGTATTAGAAATAAATAAATACTACGTACGTGATGTTCAATAGCGCCGTCCAGAATCCTTTGGCGATGAAATACACTCCAACCCCCACGTTTCCTGTGGCTGCAGCAACTGGCGTAAGACATGCGTACCACGCGCCACTGCAGAGCAGCAAAACGACGATCAGCTGCTTCATGAACTCCTTCTCTGTGAAATAAGTGAGCACAAAGTCGCTCATGAAGCTCATGACGAGTGCCGCGCCTCCGTGGGCAGCGAAGATGGGGCCAAAGCCGTAGACTGGCGCTGCAAGTCCAGCCTGCTCCTGCGCTAAATCCGAGAAGAAGACGAGCGCGGGGCCCAGCATTCCCATGAAGGCGCCCTGTAATACGTAGATAGTCCGGTATGCCAGGAGCTGCCACGCATACTGATCCACCTCGTCGAACTCCGCAGCTGTAGAGACCACTGGGAGGCTACTGCCACTGCCACTACTGGCTCTGTGATGCTGACGGTGCTGGTGCTGCAACTGGTGGCGCGTTTGGTTCACGGACGTGTAGGCGACGTACGTGTCGCTAGGTAACAGCGGCGTTGTGGCGCTTGACGACTGCGGGAGGCTATAGCGCTGCATGGCAACGCTGAAGTTACCGCAAATGTCCTAGTGCGTGGAATAACTCAGGTCGAAGGCGATCAGATTTGTAGAATGTACGGTCCATGTTAAGTACGAATTTAGATGTATTACTATGGATTGCCAGTTTTAGGGCTCATGAAATCATGCATTTTTTGCTACATACGCTCGTCTTCCGCGTTCCCAGCTCGTTAGATCTCGAGCTGGTTGTTTGCGAGTTCTCTGGTGGCTGCAGGTTGCTTGGTCTCCGACTCGATCGACTCCGCCGCACTTACACTCGAAAACCGCGAGGACGGAGACTCCCCGAAGCTGCTGCCGCCGTCGTGCAGAGATTTCCGTCGCTCCTCCAGTGTCCGCATCGCCTTGCGTTTCCACTTGTTGACGCCCAGTTTTACTCGTAGAATAACATTCAGCGACGTCACACGGGTCACAGCACATGCTAGATCCTCCGGTCCGACCTTCACAGCCTCGTAGCTCGTTTCCACATACTCCTTCTTCTCCTGGTCCGACAGTCCCTCCAGCACCCACGAATGTTCCTTACACTGCTGCAGAGACCAGCGCTTCTCAGGATCCTTCTCCAACAGACCGTAAAGCAGCTCACTTAGTCCCTCCGACGCATTATTCTCTAGCTCGATCGGGTTCTTCTCGATCATCTCAAACAGAGTCACGACATCTGGATCGTAGAACGGGATCGTACCGAAGGCCAGAGCGTGGATGCTAACGCCCAGAGCCCAGATGTCCGCCGCATAAGCGCTGTACTCACCGCCCTTGAGCGTCTCTGGGCCCATGAACGCATATGTCCCAGCTGTTGTCGAGACGTAGCCCTTCTTATGAGGCTTTGTTGATGTTGGAGTGACCTCACCGGCGGCCTTAGCCTTAGCTTCCTTGTCGTCCTCCTCGAAGAAATGAGCGACGCCGAAGTCAGCGATCTTGTAGGTGCCATCCTGACCCACCAGAATGTTCTCAGGCTTCAAGTCGCGATGGCAAATGTTGTTCTCGTGCAGGTACTCGAGTCCAAGCAGGAGCTGACGCACACAGACACGTAGCTCCTCTTCAGTGAAGCACTCGTTCTCCTTCTTGCTATTCTTTGACTTCTTGTAGAGTTTCTCTTCAGGGAACCACTGCATCACCTGACCCGACGGCGCGTATTCTAGCATCAGTACGAGCGTCTCAGAGTCGTCGTCGAAAACCTCGAGTAGATTCAGTAGATTCGGGTGGTGCAGCTTCTTCATGATGGCAATCTCCACCTGCACCTTGTCCAGCGCCGTGGACACGACCATGCGTCGGCCCACGCGTTTCACCTCGCGCATTTTCTTAAGTAGAGACGTCTTGAACACCTTCAGTGCCACCAGGTCGTCTCCTCCACGCAGGCGGCCGAGCTGCACGACGGCCGTGGCGCCTCGTCCTAGCTCGCGTACCACCTCGTATTTAGTAATGGCGCTGCCCACGCTGCTGTTGCCACTGTCACCACTAGAAGCAGAGCTGATACCGTCGTCTGAGTCGCTATCGCTGTCGTCGTCGTCGTCACTCAGGTGGTCATTGTTGTTGAACGACTCGGCCGACGCTGTGGTGGTCACAGAGTCCATGGACTCTGGCAAAGGCGGTGGGACATTAGAAGAGTTTACATGCGCAGCAACCGACGAAGGCGCAGAGGCCGGTGCTGGCGGCGGCATCGACGCAGATGGCGCCAGCGAGCGAGTGCCGGTCTTGGGACGGTTGGATGACGCTCTGGCTGACGAGTGCGAAGCGGAGCGAGACTCGCGGTGACCGAAGGACATAGTACGGCTGCGGAAGAAGTCGAAGATGCCCAGGTCGCACTGGACGCGGTTCGAGAAGGCGCCCGACATGGTGGCGGTGGAAGGACTTGGCCTAAAGCAGGAATGAGACGAGCGTTAGAGTGGCGGAAGAGCTTGCCCAGACAAACTCGATACGGCATGCAGTATTCGTTTTGATAGGCTCAACAGAAATGACAAAACAGGACTATAGAGTGAATTGTTGAAGTTCATTGACCTGGATGTAATATGGCTAGTGACCCAGAAATTCTCCGGTTCTGTCATATTGGTGTGCACCACAAAAAATCAAGTTACAAGATCAAGCTTTGATTCCAAGCGCAATGATCAAGCGATGCTTAACAAGCACGCCTGGAATGCAGGCTGCATGATGCAGCGTATCTCATCAGCCGTGTCGCGCACGGATCATCAACCAAAGTATCTTATTCGAGATGGCAGCTACAACAATGTAGTGGTTGACGATCGCTCAAAGATTTGTTTATATAAAATTGTTCTCGTCTCTCTAGACTACCGCGTGGAACTTCGGGGCCTTTTACCAACACGTCAATCTCGCAAAACGATACTCTGAACAAGGTGATGATGCCGTAACTTACTGGTTCTTGCACTCAGGCGGCTTCTCGGTGGAATTGGCGCCGCCCTCAAGAGCGGGGAATTTCTTCTTGCCCCGACGCGGCTTGGGAGCCTCGTCACCCGAGAGCGATTCCTCGTCCGATTCCTCGTAGTCCTCATCGTCCTCTGGGTCGTAGTCCGAGTCGTCATCCTCCACAGCTTCGCCCGTGAACCACAGCAGAGCCTGCGGAATGATGGTCTCGTGGATCGTGAAGCCAATTTCAAAGTCACCACTCAGCTGGCGCATGATCATCTCGCTCTGAAATAACAAACATCAACAAGACAAATCACGTCAGAACACAATTTGCGCTCTTCAATACATAACATCCACTCACGTCCTCATCGTCCTCCTCTGACGGCATCTCGACGGGCGTGAAGAACTGGAAGAAGCTCTCGCAGGGCTCAGTACGGCTCACGACGCGGGTCTCGCCCTTGCCACCCTTAGCACGCTGCTTGACCTTCTTGGTCACTTCGCAGAGGTTCTTGCCTTCCTTCCACTCGATGACCGTGCCCGTCACGTTGCGCAACACAGCCTCGCCCAGCTCCGAGGCGTCACCAATGTCGTACTCCTTAGTGAGGATCTTGTTAGTGAAGAACGGGTTCTCAGCAAACTCGAAGGTGAGTTTAAATCCGTTGTCCTCCTCGTGGCTCACCGAGTTCACGTCCGTAAGGAACTCAAAGGCGGGCAGGTCGCGCTCCTGGATAAGCTCGGCCAGCACCGAGTGGTTCATGAAGGCACGCAGCCAGAAACCCGGCACACCCTTAACGTCCTCCTCGGTCTCAGCGTCAGCCTGCTGGGGCTCAACAGCAGCGGCTGTAACGGCCTCCACCTCCTTAGCACCCGAAACGATCTCAGCGCGCTGCTTGTAGAAAGGCTGGTAGAGCTTCTCGTACTTGAGCTCCAGAGCCTTGCGCTCCTTCTCGAACTCCTCTTCCACCTCGGCCTGCGTCTCCTGCAACTTACGCAGAGCATCCAGACGCAACAACACGTTCTTGGGCAGGTTCGCAAGGTCGTCCTCCTCTTCCTCCTCGGCGGCGGCGTCGCTCACCGAGATCTGCGCAACCTGCTCCGTCAGACTGTCAACGGGCTGGAAGCCACGTCCATCGTTGTGGTCCACTTCCACCACGGTATCGTGCTCGCTAGCTACGGGCTTGTCCGACATATTGTACGTGAGTGGCGGGGGCTGCCGCTTCTTTTCTGAGAATGACCCTCGGAGGATGGCTTCGCCTCCACAATTTTACGCTTTTGGTTGGCTACGGAAGCGTCACCGGCTGGTCGGTGTTCGAAACATAAATAATGGTGTTGGCCACACTAAATACTGCATACTTTTCAACACTCCACCCCCTCCCCATCAGTCTGAGAATCAACACGGCGTACATCCGACCGACCCAAGCAGCAGCATGAGCAGCGCCAATGGCAGCTCCGTGGCGCTCACCAGCGGCGGCACCGTCGCTTCCAAGCGTCGTGTGGCCTACTTCTACGACTGTGAGGCTTAGTCTCCCTCGACGTGCTGAAAACGTCGCGTCACATCACATCATTTAGCTGACTCACGTTGTGCGTTTACTTCTGTGATGCAGCCGAGATCGGCAATTACCACTACGGCCAGAACCACCCCATGAAGGTGAGACTTCTAAGCAGCAACTACCTGCTACTGTGTATACTTGGGATAGCTGACTCTGTGCTCTCCTATCCTTGCAGCCGCATCGCGTGCGAATGGCTCACAATCTCATCACTAACTATGGTCTCACCAAGCACATGGAAGTCTTCGTACGTCTGCAGTGATGCAGTGGTCATATCACATATTGAAACTAACTTACTCGTTTAATTGTGTGCTATTTCCCAGCGTCCTCGGCTCGTGGACTGGACGGAGCTCACGCGCTTCCACTCGGACGACTATATCCACTTCCTGCGCCTTGTGACACCCGATAACATGCACGAGTACCTTCGCCAGTTGCAGCGCTTCAACGTGGGTGAGGATTGCCCAGTCTTTGATGGTCTTTTCGAGTTCTGCCAGCTGTACGCGTCGGCTTCGATCGGCGGCGCTGCCAAACTGAACGCAGGCTCAGCCGACATCGTCATCAACTACTCGGGTGGTCTACACCACGGTAAACGCTCAGAGGCGTCTGGTTTCTGCTATGTGAACGACTGTGTGCTCGGTATCCTGGAGCTACTGAAGACCCACCAGCGTGTCTTGTACATCGACATTGATATCCACCATGGTGACGGCGTGGAGGAGGCTTTTTACACGACGAACCGTGTGATGACGTGCTCATTCCACAAATACGGAGAATTCTTCCCCGGTACGGGCGATATCAAGGATGTCGGCCATGGAGACGGCAAGCATTACTCGGTCAACTTCCCGTGCCGCGACGGCATGGACGACGAGAGCTTTACCGGTATTTTCCGTAGCGTCATTGCCAAGGTGATGGAGCACTTTGCGCCAGGTGCTGTCTTGCTGCAGTGCGGTACAGACTCGCTGTCTGGTGACAGACTTGGCAGCTTCAACCTGTCAGCCAAGGGCCATGCCGACTGCGTGGCTTACGTCAAGAGCTTCAACATTCCCACTCTTGTTGTCGGTGGTGGAGGCTACACTCTGCGCAATGTAGCGCGTGCCTGGTGCTACGAGGCTTCGCTGCTGGTGGACGTGGATATCCCGGACGCGATGCCCTACAACGACTACTTCGAATACTACGGACCTGAGTACCGCCTGCACTTGCCTGTGAGCAACATGGAGAACCTCAACACACCCGCTTACCTGGACGAAATCAAGCGTCAGATCCACGAGAACCTCCGTCAGATCGAGCCTGTTCCTAGTGTTCCTTTCACTGTCGCACCGCCGTCGGCACGTATTCAAGAAGAGAAGGAAGCTGCTGCGCGCGACCGCGAGGACGACGACCAGCACATGATGGATGTGTCGGGAGAGCGTCAAGTACAACAGGAACTCAAGCACAGCGACGCTCCCCGTCACCCTGTTGAGTTTTACGACTAACTTACCAGCACGTAAGCAAACCTGATAACCTACACCAAACAAAGGCGAAGCAGTTGTAGTGTATAGTTGGTATGGTGGGATAGGATAACTTGCAAAATGTGGTGTCAAGAGCCCTGGGAAACACCAGAGCTCATTGCTTGTTTATCATTGTCTTCTCTATTAACATCGACGGAGGTGTCTATAAACCGCCACATCCGTTTGAAGAGCGCACGAAATCATAACCGTAGTCTTTTCCCATCATGAGGTCGAGAATACTAGCGCGGCGAGAAGATTAAATCCACAAATTGTACGACGTGCGCCGAACATTGCCAACATACTGGCCAATGATGCCAGCATGTTAGCAATAGATACGGAGGATAAATAATAAATAACGTCTATCGAAAAATGAGTCGAATTTTTCCAGACACAGCAACTTTAGACGTTGACCAAACTGAAAATAACTCGACCGACGGTCGGTCGCCTTCCACGGAAGGTCACGCGGTTTCACAATGATTGACTCAATGAAACTTTCATTTTCACTGTTTCCCATTCGTGCCAACGGGTGAAAATCGTCCAAGTAACAGTTAGTTGCGGCCACTGCTCAACAGCAACTTTAGAAATCACTCAGGATGCTACTTTTGCCACTGCTCTGTACTTTGTCGTGGGATCAAGAGGAAAAATGCCACGGAAAAAAATCAAAGCCAAGGCATCAAGCAGATACGCACGTATTACAAGGTAATGATGCAGATTCTCTGCCAGCGTCCGTCCTCGTGTCAGCATCTCAGAGCCCGTCATAGGTATTTCACGCCTTCACGCACTCTCAGCTCCTGTTTGTTTCATGGTGCAACCACTTGCTCACAAGTTTTGATCGAGTCAAGACCAAATCAAATCAATGCATAGATATCCAACCAACGACGTCACAACTTTCTCCTCCTCTCATGTCTGCGTCAGGATAGTAGTGGTCATCTCACAATGCATGTCCTTCCTTACTCATCGTCTTCTTCATAGTCCACGGCCAAATCATCCATGCCCGCGAACAACTCGTCACGCGCCATGCGGGCACCTCCACTCTTCATCTCCTTCTGATGCGGCTCCGACTCATCCTCAGTCTTAGATCGAGGCTGTTTATCCTTCACAGAAGCCTCCTCTGCTTGGTTGTCGCGGTTAAAAGACCGATGCGGAGAACCATTAGACTTCCTCCCACTCGAACCTGAAGCCTGTTCACGGCGAACAGGTGACGGGGTCAACGATCGTTCTGGGCGAGAAGAGCGCTTCTCGTGGCGATCACGGTGACTGTGGTGGCCTTTGTCGTCTCGACTTCGGTCATGACGCGAGTGGTGGCGTCGCTCATGACGACTGGACTCACGATCATCCCCTTCTGGTTCAAACTCGTGTGCAGGTCCGGGTCCGAAAGAATTCTGCAGCATCGGCGATGGCGGCGAATATCCAGCCTCGCGACCACGCGATGCAAACTCTCCACGACGTTCACGATAAGACTCACGATGCTGGTGCGGGGGAGGCGAGCGGCGACGATCTTGTGAAGGTGTGGAAGCCGGACGAGGAGAGGGAGGCGGATCGGGGGAACGGGGACGGCTCAGTTCCTGGCGATACATTACGCCACCTCTTCCACCTCTGTAAGGCTGTTGCGTGTGGTATCGATCACTACGACCGCGACCTCGTCCGCCTCCACGACCCGAACCGTAGCGACTCAAGTCTGCACCATGGAAGTCCCGACGGCCTTGGTTTTGCTGCTGGAAAAAGCGTTGGCGTTCCTGCTGTTCGTCACGAGCCACTTCGGCAATGGAACGATCATCCGCATAACGGGGACGTTCCGACTGTAACGAGGGGCGTTCTTCAATAATCTGCGAACGTTCTTCACGATCTTCACGTCCACGATAGCCACCAGAGCGTTGGGGCGAGCGCGAACGAGACCGAGGTCGACTCTTCGACGATCCCGCATACTTTCCAAACCGGGGGGGACTGCGACTGCGACTATGTGGTACCTGCAACACACCACCGGGTGGAGGGGGTGGCATCCTACCACGTTCCTCCTGCATCGGTTCATCACGTCGATATGACTGACGACTATCTTCAATACGTCGATAATCACTTGAGCGTCCTTCATCTTTGCGACTGCGTCTCGACGAGGAGGACGGAGAAGGAGAACCTCCTCGGTGATAGTTTCTGCGGGTTCGGCCCTCGTCTCGCAGTTCGCGATGTTCTCGTGAGTCTTCAATTGAACGTTGTTCCATCCAGGGCCCGTCACGTCCACGAGGTCGTCCACGAATATCCTCAACAAGAATAGGACTCTCGTGGCCTCGGACTACCATGGGAGACGGGGAGCGACGGCCATATTTGCTTCGGAACTCACGGCGGTTCTCCTTGTCTGACGGTGTGCCATATCCACGTTCACGTCCAACATGCTTCGATAACGTCACAGGAGACCTGGAGCGAGAGTGAGGCCCACGACGTTCCTTCGGAGGTCTAGACATCGGTACATCGTTATAACGACCGCCACCATTGTGAGGTTTGGGTGAACGGGAACGAGAACGTCCACGAGCACTCCCACGGTCACTCCGAGGAGGACTGCGACTGCGAACACTGCTACGCTCTCCATACTTAAGCGACGTCACTCGATCATGCACACGGTGTCCATTAGCACCATCCATTAGGTCGTCATCTTCTCTGTAGTGGTGATTCTTACTGCTGCGATAGTCTGCATCTCCTCCCACTACACCACAAATCATGAGACCCAAAAGTCAGCAAAATATCACACGCCGACACAAAATAAAACGAGAAAATCTTACCAAGTCGTCCCGACTTCAACGCAAACCCTTGCTTGCTGTGCACATTGGATCCACGACGTGTCGAATCAATCGTAAACTGCTCCTTCGTGTCATAAACAGGGAAGATCTCGTATCCTTTCACAGTGTAAAGCTGCTTCCGAATCGCCGCCTTGGCGTGCTCCACGTTGCGGAAGCGTACACATCCCTTCTCAGCGAACGACAACGGTCCAAAGCGCTCCAGTTGTTCGCACATGGCGTCCCACACTTCCGGATCACATTTGTTAAAGTCAAACTCACGCACAGCATCCTTGTCTTCCATGTTCACGTCTTCCCCCGTTCGCTCCACAAACAGCACAGTGTCCACGGGAGGGCCACGCGCAAAGTTGGCGTTCAGGAAGGCGCGACCGCGGAATTTGTTGGCGTGCACATAGTGGATGGCTTCACGCGCGTGCTCTATCGTCGGCATGCTCACGAACGCATATGCTGTGGCGTTGGTGTCTGGCTGCTTGAGCTGCACACTCATTAAATCAATCTCCGGCCACACAGGCGACAAAAACTCCACAATGTCTGTACTTGGTGTGTGACGGGGAACACTGCCCAGGAACAGATAGGGACAAGGCGGACAGTTACGAGGAGAGAAGGCGTTGACCTTCTGTCGTCTGCCTTCGCTCTCGACCGTGCGGCTGCTGGATAGCTGTTTATTCCACATGGAGGAGTCCTCGCTGCCACGCGGTGTGCCGCCATTACTGGAGTCGCGGTTCAGTTGCACGATCTTTCCCTCTTTAATGACATCGTCATGTTTGGCTTTCTTTAGGTCGCGCTCGGATGACGCAAAGCCGTCGTCTCCTTCGGCCATGGCCTTCTCGTCACGCGGCTTCTTGCGGCTGCGTTCTGAGGGTGAGGACGGGTTGTGGCTACTCGTATTCGAGTCAAACTCGGGCTGTAGTTGCTCCTGGAGCGCTTGACGCAGTGGCGTCACTTGGCGCAGGATGACCGACGACTTCTCGGCCTCCAGCATGTGCTGCACGGAATCGTCGATGCGTTGCATCCACTTACGAGCGCTATTGGGGGCGGATGTGGGCGTGGAATCGCTTGGCGTCTTGACAATCTGCAGGAGCGCGCGCAATGTGTGGATACGCACAGCCTGCGAGCGTTTGGGACCGCATAGTTTGAGCAGCACATCTACGACATTCATCTGAACGTGCGGGAAGCGGAAAAAGTGTTTGTGCAGCAGTTGCGCCGCCAGACTGAGCACCACGTCGCTGGCGTCGGCACCCGTTGCGGCGTGGATGATCTTCTCATAGGCGTCTGCGGCTTTGTCTTCATCGCGTTTCGGATCGTCGACAGATAGCGCTGAGACGTCCTCGATCTCCGAGTCCCACGCGTAGAGCTCCGTCAGCATATCCTCCGCCATCTCGATCGTCTGTTGAGGCTTCGGCGGTAGATTCCCGAGTGGAGTGAGTGAAACGAACCGCCTGCCCTCCACGTATTTTTTTTCTGTAGATCCCGATCCCCGGTTTCTTCCGTTTCATGTGTCGTACGTAAGATACATTGATCTTTAAGTTACGTTAGTATGCATCAACATAAGGAAAGAGAATGGCTACAGCAACGATTTCCCGAAGCGATCCACATCAATCAGAGGTCCGGTTTATTGAGTGCAGCACAAGTAAGGACGAGTGGGCTGCGAGTCTCTTTATGATACATTGACGCCGGAGCGTCTGGACGGAACGAGTACTTAACGTGTGGATAACGAAGGCGAGACTTATTCAGCGACTACTGATACGCTACTTCATCCACGACGGATGGCCGCGTGTTTTGCTGCCTGACTCTTTGTCTCGCTTTTTGCTGCTGGGTTAAAAGTCCCACGTGCAGTTCCAGGGACCAAATGCGTCGTTGGGCTGTTGGAAGGATCCAGTGGGCCGCCACGTCTTCCGCTCTTGATCCTGCATGAGTCGCATGAGCTCCGTCGTCTGCTGGAGCGCGCACTGCCGCATCGCGAGGTCGGCCTGTTGGGCTGAGATCAAGTCGCGAACCTGCTGGAGCTGCAGCTCCCAGAGCATCCAGCGATACGCTGGCTGCGTAGGTGTAGGCGTGAACGGGGAATTGAATGCTGCAGACATAGACACCGAGGGCGTCAAAGGAGGCAACGGAGGCGTGAACGTCGACTTCACGGCCGCTGAACGAGAGAGGGACGGGACGAAAGGTGTCGCTCCAGTGAATGAGTCGAGGTGGCTCGTAGGCGAGGTGGCTGACACGGGACTAGCAACACGTGTTGACTGCTTGCCTTGCATCGCCGCTTTAATCCACGAGGCATTCGGCGACGTTGCGGGTGGGACAGCACTGGTCTGGCCAGGCGAAACACTCGATGCATCGGATTGGCTCGTAAGGCCGATCGACTCGGTAGATGCAGTGTCCGACAGAGGACTCGTAACCACTTTAAGAGGAAGATCCCCATGGCTTAGCGAGATGCAAACATTCCTGATTGCTGCACCACTCGATCGCTTCCTTTTCTGCACAAACACGATGTCCTGGATGACGTCGTCCAGCGGTTTGACCACTACGCGGCCCGGATTCTCACCCTGCAGTCTCAGGTAGCCGTCGTTTAGTGCTCGCAGCCAAGCGTGGATCTCCACGTGCCAGCCTTGCATCAGAAACTTGGAGATAATCTCTTGATAAGCCGACGTATTGCCAGAGCCGAGGCCTCCTCCTCCCATAGCGAGCACTAGAGTCTTCCCATTGGCAGTCGCTGTACCTTTCTGCAATTGAGTCAGAAGTTCCGCTTGTAGCACATTCTCGTCATTTCCAACGGACTTCACGGTCCAGCCAAACTTCTCCAGCGCTTGTGCAATGTGGGGGTTTGTCTTGCCATAAGTGGTAACTTGATGCGCGACGACGGCGGACGAGCACAAGTGGTCGGTGAGCGCCTCGAAGTTGAGACGGACGTCGTGGGGACTGATGGCGTCCTCGACGTTCTGAAATAGCAGAGGACTCATGATGAGCGAACCCGCAGTGTTATCGAGATCGAGGAACACATAGCGCTGGCGATGCTTGGGCGTGTACAGCTGTGGCAACTTGAGCAGCCAATAGCGGCGGCGCTCTACGTCGTTTCGTTCTGTCCTGACAGCCTCCTCGTCGTCAGAGTCGTGTGCTACAGGCGGACTGGAGGACAGAGTGGACGCAGGCGACGCCGATCTGCGCGCATGCGGCGTACTGGGCATGGCGGGAAGGTGCACGTTTCCTTGATTGTCTGTCGGCGACCCTTTGTCTGACTTCCGTTGCCACTGGAGAGTAACAGCCAATCAGTTTGGATTTCGTGTTGAAGCCAGCTTCAACATGACTTTGACACAAAATTACGCACACAAAATATTGTGTCGGCAAGCTGGGGGCGCATTTATTATACTGCTTCGAAGTATAATTCATCGTCAGTTGCAGGCAGCGAGATCTGATCGCACGTTTCTTCTCGGCTCCACAGTCACGATAATTTAAATACAATAATTCTCGAGCTGTTGATAGTGCAACACTAACTTTTCCAATTGCACATGTACCAGCCTGTGTCCCTCGTCGGTGCGCTTGTTGTTGCTATCACACTGAATTACCAGCCCGGTCCAGAAGCCCACGGGTTTCGCGGTCCTCTCGGCGGCTGATAGCGACCTCTGGATTGAAATCGCTGGTCCTGCTCACGCAGTATCCGCGTCAACTCTGTCGTCTGCTGCAGTACTATCTGCCGCATGGCGATACCCACCTGTTGAAACGAAAGCAAGTCTTGCATTTGCTGTACCGGCAAGCTCCACGTTACACCAGAATCACGGACAGTCGGAACTGGAGGAGCGAAAAATGGTGCCGTCGGAGGCGCTGCAGTTGGTCGCCATCCAGATGGTGACGGTGAAACTTCTGGAGGTTTGCTACGCCCTCTGAGTGTAGACCCGATTGGCCAAGGCGTTCGACCTTCCTTCACAACTTTCGCCCAAGACGTTGGGGGACGCTGCTCGATCGGTGCGGCCCCCGAGAGTCGATCTGCTAGAGACGTAGGCCATGGTCCACATCGAGGTTTGGAATGTGTTGGGGTAGCTGCTACGTTGCGAAGGTGGGCGTATGGTACGGCAGGTGAGGAAGTTGCTGCTCCTCTCTGAGTCTTGCCTTGATTTGGATCAGTTCCCATCGGCTTAAACGATATTGTTGGTGCGAGCCAAGTCGCATAGGACATCATCCAGAGGTTTCACTACTACGCGGCCAGGATTCTCCTTTTGCAATCTCAGATACCCATTGTTCAAGGAATACAGCCATGCATGGATTTCCACATACCAGCCTTCCTTCAAAAACTTGCAAATGATTTCACGATAGGCATTCGGGTTAGTAGTACCGAGAAATCCATCACCTGTTGCCAAAACCAACGTTTTGCCATTAGCTCCCTTGTCAAGTTGCACCATCAATTCACTGTACAGGGTCTTGTCATCACTTGAAAACAGTCTGAGCGTCCACCCAAGCTTTTCCTACGTTTGTGCAATAAACGGACTTGTCTTACAATAGGTAGCCAACACTGGAACTTCACTTCAGCCGTCACGCTGTTATTGCCACCAAGATGCTTCGTCAATGCTGTGAAGTTTAGATAAATGTCACGTGCACTTGTGGCTCCGTCAACGCGTTGATAAAGCATGCTGCTCATAAGCAGCGAACTGGCAATGTTGTCCAAGTTCATGAAAAGGTAACGCTGTCTGTGTCCAGAGACGTACATCTTCGGCAATCTCATCAACCAATACTGACTTCGCTCGACGTTGCTTCTCTCGACTTCCTTGGCCTCTTCATCTGAATCAGGGACATCGTGTCGGCTCCTCTGCAAAGGCGAAGTAAACTCTGGCATGGTGCTACGGTAAAGATGCCAAACCGACTTTGACGAGAAAGCGTTCTGATCTCGAATGGATCCGTCCCGTGTGTCTTTCTCAAACCTGAGCAACTTCAACTGTCGTTGAAATGGGAGGCTGCGTGTCTCGCTTCGATAAGCGGCTCTGGTTCTATCAAGTTTTGCCATTGCCACGTTACAGTTAGTCATTACATTTAGTCAAGAATTCACAAGCCAGAAGTGTACCAGATCTTCATTTGGTTACGGCAGCGTTGCTGAGGGGATCGTGGTTCATTTTGCATCTACTGCCAAGAAGCAAAATGCTAACATTTCGATCAAGCCGTTTGTGGTCGCAACTGAACGATGACGTGGTACAATACGACGTGGGTCGTTTTGGTCGCCAAAGGATGTCAAGTGTTGACTGGAGAGTTTCGCGTGATGTAGCTGAAGAAGAAAGTGCGTGGTACGTCGCTTAGCTTGGAAGAGAAGCTTGAGAACGACCGCATTGTTCATGGCCGAGTGATCGTCCAATACTTTCTTGGTAGACTGATGACGCTTTGAGTCGACTCGAACGAACTTTCGGTTCGGGTGGCGTAGCGGCAGCGGCACTCCACAACACCGGGGTTTTCAATGAGTGCTTGCTAGTCACCAACACCGACCCTGTACACACAGAGCTTGCACTCCATAGGGGTAAGAAACTTAAAACGGTATGTAAAATAAAAATATATACATAATGGTACTGTATCTCCCCCCGAAGGGATCCCTTTACTTCACGATGCAAACGGCCACAGGTTTCGACCTTTACGTACTCTCTTCGGTGGAGAGAAGAGTCTGCATGCTGATTGTAAGGACACGCCCGTCTCGAAGAGCTCTCGCACAGCACAAAAGGACGATAACGCGTTTATCTTGCAGTTCGATGGCTTTGCTGTGCCCGAGATTATCTCGGGAGATGGTTTGCTGTCCAATTTTTGACTCAATTTGACTACTGGTATTGTAGAGGAACTTATCATGCCGTTCCGACACTACAATGGGGAGGCACCAATTGCACCCTGCCTTCCCGCATCTCGAGGCTCAAGCGCGTTTGCTCATGATGGTTAGTCCCCCACTCTACGTTTTACCGACAGAGAGAGAAGCACACGGAAGGTCTTCGCAGCCTCCGCGTATTACATTCCAACTGAAAAGTACATCCTGAAAAACATGGTTTGGCACTCTTCCATGAGTGCCGTGGTGGCTGTGGCCCTTGGTCTATTTGCCCAGGCTCAGGCCTTTGAGGTCACCCTCGTGAACTCCTGCTCCGAATCCATCGACGTGTTCGACTCCAAGACTACGGAGAAGCTCCAACCTGGCGGCTCCAGCACGCGCACGGTCTCCCCTGGCGGTGCCTACGTGTACCGCAAGGGCACGGGCGGCCAGGCAACGCTGGCTGAGTTTTCGGCTGACAACAATGCTGCTTGGTACGACATCAGTATTATCCCAACGGGTGAGAAGCAGGGCCCCGGCAACTGTGGTAGTCTGGAGGAATGCATGGATGTCACGGGTGGTGTCGGCTTCAACGTCGCCATGAACATCGAGCCAAGCCAGCCGGACGGCAGTCGCTGTGTGTCACTCACGTGCATGGAGAATGGTTGCAATGACGCCTACCAGTACCCGGCGGACGACACTAAGACGCACTCCTGCCCCAGCTCGGTTGACTTCACCGTGACGTTCTGCCCAGGTGGGTCCTCGGGTGCGACGCAGACGGTTGACCAGACCGTCAACCAGGTTGGAAACGAGGCCCAGAACACTGTGCAGCAGTACACTGCACCGACACCCACGACGGCCACGCCCACCCAAGCTCCGACAGAAGCACCGACGCAGCCCCCTACGGAGGCTCCTACTCAGCCACCGACCGAGGCCCCTACTCAACCGCCCACCGAAGCTCTTACTCAACCACCGACCGAAGCTCCTACGCCTCCTCCTACTGAAGCTCCAACGCTTCCTCCCACTGAAGCGCCCACGCTTCCTCCAACCGAAACACCCACAATGCCTCCCACTAAGGCGCCGTCGGCTTCGAGTGTTTCTGCTACGGATGATGACGATGCCGGTGCCAGCCAGTGGAACGACTTTGTTGGCCAGGTCGGTGCTCACAACGAGACCTCCGGCTCCAGTGGCGTGGATGTGGGCGACAAGTCCGGCAGTGATGTTGACAATGAGCCAGGCAGTAAGCCCACCACGCAGGTTAGCGTCACCCCCGCGCCTGCTTCGTACGAGAAGGGAGGTGTACAGACCACTCCTTCGTCGGTCATGCAGACGAGCAATGACAATGGAGCAGTCCAGCAGGCCAACACGCAATCCTCTGAGGGCAGCTCTGGAAGCACTGCCTATGTTGTTGTGTGCATCGGTGCAGCTGTGGGTATGATCGCCGTGGCCGCCATCGTGGTGATCCGGAAGAAGAAGCAGGCGTTCGACGAGATGGACAACAAGACGCCCGTCCTCAACACCATGCGCGATGGCCCCACAGACCACTCGGTCCTTATGACCGCGACCAACCACAACACCACCGTCTTGTAAGAGCATCGGTATACTTGTGAAATAGTGTCGGATGTCTAGGAGGTAGAATTCCCCGACGTTTTTGATTTCTATAACGAGGTAACGAGGAAGAGTTGTGTGAGTTTCTATCACAATGCCTTTGTTCAATTGTCCATAAGCTTCTGAACGTCTGCACGACTCTGCTCCTTGGCTGGCAGCTCCTGGAATCGCATATCCATTTCCTCCATACGACCCAGCTTCTTGAGTGCGTCGAGCTCCGGCGCGACATCTAGCGGCTTCACGGCACTACCCATTGCGCGATGCACCTCGTAGAGATACAGAACAGACTGGTATTGCTCATAGTCCTGCAGAATTGCCACCACGTCCCGACGCACCATGTCTGTCAAAGGCAGTGAAGCGTAAGCCTCAATGGCCTCGGCGAAGCGCCCGCGGAAACAGAACTCCTTGACAATACTAGCCGCCACGTGCAGTGGGACCCACTCCCACTCCTTCTTCTCGGCCAGAATGGCCACCGCCTTGTTCTTGCTTGAGATTTCCTTCTTCCAGCTAGGTGTGGCCTGCTTATTCTTGGCGGAATCTGTCTGCTCGTCGTCCTCGCCACCCCCCTCGTCGTCGTCTTCGTCGTCATCAGGTTCTTGCTCCTCCGCTGTAACCGGAGCTTTAGAAGCGTCAAGGGCGTCTCTGTGGCTCTTGTAGGCTCGTAGATAAGCCCGGACCGGGGAGCCGGATAAGAAGAATTGACGCTGGAAATACTGCCGCCACACAGCGCCCCTGGCCATGTTGGCGTGAGGCCCTAGCGCCGCGAACACGGCGTCGGCCGCCTGGGAATCGCCCTCGAGCTGCTGGAAGCCCCAGCGCACCAGTGGCGTGAGCTTGTGCACCAGTTTCGGGGCGAATAACGTCTTGTATGGTAGCGGCCGCATCTCCTCCGTCGAGAGGACTCGCTCGATGTCCTTGGTATCCACCTGAAGATACTCGAGCACGCGCTGCGTCACAACGGGCGATGGTAGCAGCTGATCCTCATCTAGCACCAGCGACTCGAACTTGAAGTTGTTGCCATCGGTGGCACTGGCGGTCGATAGCAGCGCGCGACGCACCCCAGGACGCAGCAAAACAAGGCGACGCAGTGCCAACATGGTCAATTGGTGGTCAAGACTTTGTGCGGTCCTTGGAAACAACAAACTCAAATCAAGTTTACATTACAAAACCCTAGTCAAAATCTAGGTAAACCTAGAAAAGGAACTCTAGGTTGAAGCAGTTAGTCTGGCTTCCTGAACCAACTGCAACTAGGATTGACCAACACGTTGGACTTGGAGCTCTCGGTGATAACCCATTGGGGTTTATGGAGCTCATGGGTCTCTACTAACAGCGGAAGAACATTCCAAGTCTACTTCTTCTCGATGCCTGTATCTATCCAAGCGAAGCGGTTGGAATCCAGCTGCACGGCGACTTTTAGTGCCTCGTGATGTGTCAAAATGCTCAAGGGAATGGTCAAAAGTCCAGCGCTGCGCAACGTGGGGAAAACGTCAAGGCATCAAAACACTGGGGACATGATTGGAGGTGTCTACGATCAGTAGGCCGACGTTTCCTGACGACCGACGAGCATTGTACAGCCACCGCGGTGACAGGGCACATAACGCTGAACATAACGGTCTGCAGAGATGCTAAGATTGCAGAGCTCATGAATCTGCACTATACGGGGCGAAGTGTGAGACCATTTTGCGCTCTCCTTCCACCCCCATGTTCTGCGTGATCCTCCCACGCGAAAGAAGATCGAACAAGGAGGAGCTCATTCTGAAGCCTGCACGCAATGGGGTCTGGACGTTCGTGCACTCGTGGCCAGTGCCTCGCAGACAGACCCTCGACCATGTTGCAGTCCAGGCGAACTGAACAGAGCTGGTAAAAATGTCGAAAGAACGAAACCACCGCAGCGCTTGTGCTCGAAGAAAGAGGCGCCACCGGTCGACGTCTCGCCCGTCGCGGCAGTGGGTCATTGTGCAACTTGCGGTCGGAGACTGTAGATCGCAGGGAACGATGGAGTTCCCTCTCAAGACGGACTTCTTCCCTCAAGTGAGACTCACAGCCGAGGAGCGACGTCGGTATGTGGCCGCGGGAGAACGCAGTGCTCTGATACTTCGCAACTCCATGAAGACACTGGACTGGAAGAAAACCACGGAGAAGGACGGCGTGACATACGCGCAAGCACATTGCATCGAAGGCAGCAGCAGCGTGTCCAGTTCTCCAACCGAAGAGGAACCGCATGCAACTGCATCAGCATGCTTAATGATGAGTGCTACGGCGTTCGCGGCTGGAACCATCAGTGAGGCCCTCGAGGCGCTAGCGTCCCCTGTTACAGAGGATTACCGTCGTGCGATGCATTTCCTGCACGGACCCCGTTTTGTCGACGGCGTGTGCTTGCACACGATTCCAGCCGCATCTCCGAACAAGGCGAAATCAAACTCTCAAGCATTTACGACCATTAAGTGGGCGGCTTTCGACGATGGTAAGGTGCTCAATCCGGCAGGAGGGTCTACTGGTACAGACTATTGCTTCCTCGAGCACTCGGGCATCCACCGTAGTGACTCTGGTGACGATACCAGCGAACTCTTTGGCTTTAGTGTCCAGGAGTCGATCACTCGTGAAGGTGAAGTGCCCTCGCTAGCTGGGGTTGGTCTGGCACGGGGCCATCTTCATCGTACGGGCATCCTCATCCTACCTACAGATCGCTCCGATGTGGTTCAGGTCACTTCAATTCTGCAGATGCCAATGGCAGAAGGTGTTGCTCTCGGTGCTGCAAACGATTCCAATGGAGGTGTTTCAAGTTCTGGGAAGGCAACTTCAGCGGCCTTAGCTCGACTGATGCGTCGCCGTGTCGCTGCAATTGGGGGACTGGATTTGCTGCTGGAACGCCGCCGGCTTAACAAGTTAGTGCATGTTCCTCGAGCTGAATGGGTTGCCGATGACGCACGTAAGGCCTGTGCCGTGTGCGTTAAGCCGTTCGCGCTTAGACGGCGCAAGCATCACTGTCGGCACTGCGGGGAGGTCGTGTGTGCGTCCTGTGCCCCTGCGCGTCAGGTGGACATGGACTCCGATACTACAACCAATGTGCGTATTTGTACAGCCTGCGTCGTGCAGTCACGCACGGGGTCACAGGCCCCTGGTGGCTATGACATTTTCGTGTATCACCTGCGGAACACTGGATCGTCGTTGTCGTCTCCATCGTCGACAAACTCCATGAGGGAAAACACTTTAACTGCCAACAACACAACAGAGATCCACACTCGACCAAAGTCGCTGTCATCTGGAAGCAGCACGTTCTCAATCTCGAGCGACTCGCAAATGTCTGCACGACTGACACGTGCGGGCTATGCGGAGGGGGCTATCAGATTGTATGACTTTGAAGATGACCACTTGGACGTGTCGTCGAGAAACTCTAGTAGCTATTCTCTGAGTGAGTTCGACTCCTTTGGCAGTTTAGTCTCCATTGATCTGTCCAACCAGGACGACGTAGATCACCGTCAGCGCACACCGAGTCAAGGAAGAAGAAGCAGCCAGCCTACTATCAGCTCACCACAGTCGACAAGCAGCAGCCTGGAACCAGCTGATGATCTGCTCGAGCGCATTCGAGGAATGAAAGCCGATCTGTCAACACTAACGACGTCTTACCGGCAATTCAGCGAAGCTAACAGCTTCAGCCGCAACTTCATTGAGCCTGGTGCACCCAGATCTGCTCTCACTTTGCTAGAGTCGGAAGGCGCAGTACATGACAGAAGACGGCGGACGAGGAGCAGCGATACCGAGGGCTTCATGGACGTTGACTTCATCAACAGTGAGCAATTCACGTTACTTTGTCCAGAGACGCTGAGTCGTCAATGGCGTACGCGAACTAGTAGCCGCGTGCGTCAGGACGCCGGCGAAAAATCTCACCTCAGCGCGAGTACCTCTAACATGTCATTTGTGTCTACCTTGTCCAACTCGACGATGCTGGGCGATGAAGAGAACCCAGAGCTGCGCGAGTCTCAGGAGCTCGAGCGCGAGGGTTTTGGCGTAGGAGAGCGCAGTGAAAGCCAAGCGGAACTGCTGGCACTCAGGCAACAGGTCGAAGGGCTCCATCGATCATTGGCGGCGACAACATCGCAGCTCGACAGCATTCGTACGCGTCAATCGTCCCGCCGGGCGCCGCAGCAGCAACAGCCGATCGACCCGGTGGCTGCGAGGCATCACGCCATTTACGGACTCCTGGTGGAGGAGCTGCACGAGATCATGGGGCTGCCTCGCCCCGGACGCGAGCATTAGTCGGAAGAGATTTATAACTGTCGGAAGAGATTTATAACTGTAGTGCAAGATTCATTCTTGAAGATTGTGACACTGTAACTTCAACGTGAGCCTTTCGACTTGATCTCGTCAAGTTAACCCGACAACGGTTGGAAACATTTGACGCCGAGATATGGCTTTCCTTTTCGTTTTGGGCTGTCCCCAGTCTGTCCTCCACTCGTCTGTCGATCACGTCAAAGGATCCCTTTCACTTTCAGAGCCGTTACCAGTACTGTCGCCGATGAATGTTGTTGGTGCTGTAATTGCACGATGGAAAACAGATAGCAACAGTTGGCCCTGTACTTTGACCGGATCTTTACCACAATGAACTAACCATTGCGACATAATCTCGGCAGCGACTGCCATGCAGAACGTTCATTGATATTAGGCGACGAAGCAAGCGTTGACTCAACGCCTTGCAAATCTGGCAAAGATGCTTCTGGAAGCTACATATTTTTTGTGGAAGCCAGAATCCAGCAAGCAGCAAAGTCATCACCATGAAATGCACTGCTATCACCGCCACTACATAAGGTTGATAAGATATCGGTCGGGTATAATATACATATTATGTCCCTAGCACATATCAACTGTTGTGCTGGTGATGGTGGTGCCGTCCTTGATTGTCTCCACATTCGCTACCTGAAGAACTGACATTGCCAACACACCAAGTCGTGGCTTTTTTATTGTGTAAAACCCACAAATGAGATGCGATATCAATGGGTTCGTGCCACTTCGAGAATTGAATCAACCAACCGGCACTCACTCTTTATCGTGCCGCCGAAAGCCACAGCCGCGGCGCCGAACAGCAGGCACACCAGCAGACTTGTCCATAGCGTGTGTAGCTGGGCCAGCGTGTGGTCAGATCCGCGGCGGCCACCAGCAGGTAGAGGCCCTCAGGCGCTCTCTAGCTCGACCCCGCAGGAGGGGTACAACACAACAAACACACACACTCTCTTAGCACCAGGCACCACCGCAGCTCTGAACGCAGCAGTACACACAGGTACGCACGTCCGTCCTGAGTCCGTTACGCGCCTCGGAGTGAAGTGGGTGCTGTCCGTGACTTGGTCCGATCAGCGCCGGCGACATATCAGCACTAACGACGTCCTCCACAGCAGATTTTCCCCCGACAGACGACGACGCAGCTCATGAGGACGGCCGCCGTCCTGTGTGCGGCGCTAGTGGCCACTTCACAGAGCGTGAATAGCCTTCGGGTCCTCTCTTCTGTCTGTGATGGACGCGGGGAGCGGCCTGTGCGGATCGTGGGTGTACACGGCACGTTCTGCGTGCCCCAGCACCCATGTGAGGGATTTTTGAACAGTGCGGGCAACGAGCCGCTCGCGTGTCCTCGAGCAGGTCAGCGCGACGTATTTGGGGACGGCGTATTGACAGGGGACAGCTGCTGCGCTGTAATAGACAGTGACAGCGGGGCATTGGGCTGCGTACTTGTGGGATCACACACAGCGTGTCTATCGTCGCGTGATCGGGAATCTACTGGTGTTGGACGCAGGAGAGCGAGGAGCAGGACGCTGCAGGACTTAGTGACGAGTGAGGTTATCTTTACGATCTCAGTATCACCAGAAGTACCGACACAGGAGACGCCAACGACTGAAGCTCCAGTAGAGGCGACACAGGCGCCTGTAGCGACGACGACAGCGCAGGTAACTACTACGGCGAGTCCTGTAGCGACAACGCAATCCCCTGTGGCCACTACTGAAGCTCCAGCATCAACAACTCCAACTCCTGTTGCTACCACTGAAGTTCCAGTGACAGAAGCCCCTGTATCGACGACTGAGGCTCCTTTAGCGATTACGCCAGCTCCAGTATCTACCACTGTAGCCCCAACATCGACAACCTCAACTCCTGTTGCGACTACTGGAGCTCCAGCAACATATGCCCCAATAGCGACGACACCTACTCCGGTAGCTACAACGCAAGCGCCGGTGTCTACGACAGAAGTCCCAGTGGCGACGACATCTGCCCCGGTTGCTACTACTGAAGCTTCAGTGACAGAAGCGCCGGTATCGACGACTGAGGCTCCGGTAGCTACACTGCCAGCCCCAGTGTCTACAACCGAGGCTCCAGCATTGACAACCGAGGCGCCTGTAGCGACGACACAAGCTCCAGTTTCGACGGCCCCTGTGGCTACAACGCAAACTCCGGTGTCTACGACAAAAGCTCCAGTAGCGACGACATCTGCCCCAATTGCTTCTACTGAAACTCCATCGACAGAAGCCCCGGGATCGACGAATCAAGCCCCTGTGGCTACAACTGAAACCCCGGTTTCGACGACAGAAGCCCCAGTGGCGACGACGCCAGCTCCGATTGCTACTACTGAAGTTTCAGTGACAGGAACCCCGGTACCAACGACGGAGGCTCCTGTTGCTACAACGCCAGCCCCAGTATCTACGACCGAAGCTCCAGCATTGACAACCGAGGCGCCTGTAGCAACGACTCAAGCTCCCGTACCAATGACAGATGCTTCAGCTCCTCCGACATCGACCCCGATTACTGAAGCTCCGGTAACAGAAACCCCAGTGTCTACGACCAAAATTCCTGTGGCTACAATACAAGCTCCGGTTGTGACGACAGAAGCCCCGATTGCTGCTATTGAATCTCCAGTAGTTAGTACGCAAGCCCCGGTATCTCCAACTGAGGCTCCAGTGTCGACAACCTCCACTCTTGTTGCAACGACTGAAACTCCTGTAACAGAAGCTCCGATATCGACGACGGAAGCCCCAGTACCGACGACACCGGTTCCTGTAGTAACTACTGAAACTCCTGTAGCAACAACACAAATCCCGGTTGCTACTACCGAAATTCCGGTGACAGAAGCTCCAGTTGGTACAACGACGCTGTCTCCAGTAGCTACAGAGCCCCCGGCATCTACACTGGCCCCTATCGCGACGACAGAAACCCCAGCAGCGACGACAACAGGTCCAGTCGCTACGACAGAAACGCCTGTGACTGTAACTCCTACTCCAACTGGCACCGCACCTCCAGTAGCGACGACTGCCATTCCCCCAGCCACCACAGCCTCTCCAGTGACTGATTCTCCAGTGGTGGCACCAACCACTACAGACGCTCCAGCAGCGACAACGCCAACCCCGTCAACGGAAACACCAGCCACTACGGACACAGAAACTGATGCCCCAGCAATAACGACGCCTCCAATCACGAATACTCCAGCTGCGACCGATGCCCCAGTAGTGACAACAGCGACTCCCACTGCTACAGATGCAGTCCCCGTAGCTACAACAGCGACTCCAACGACAGAAACGCCGGCCACGACGACGGTGACACCAGGTATAACAGAACCTGTCACCGAGACTCCAGTACCAACAAATATTCCAGCTTCGACAACAGCAATCCCGACTTCAGCGCCAAGTGCTACGACTCAATCTCCAGTAGCGACGACGCAAGCTCCTGTGTCTTCGTCAGAGTCGTCTAATGGGTCTTTGGACCCAACAAGCCCAACCCCTGTCACAGCGATACCATCATCAGATTCCAGCTCGAGTTCTGGCTCTAGCAGTGCATCTCCATCGCCAACACCGGCACCAAGTCCAAGTCCAACCAGTCCGCCTCCGGTTACGGCGATGCCTTCATCAGAACCAGGGTCTGACTCGGGCAGTGCGTCCCCGACTCCAACAGAGACGCCAACGTCTACCCCAATAAGTCCACCGCCTGTAACAGCGATGCCCCCGTCAGACTCTGCATCAAGTGATACAGCGCCGACAACAACGCCGGCTTTGTCAGGGTCTTCGTCTGGTTCGGATGGCGCAGGATCATCTTCAGGTGTTTCATCAGCTAGCACGTCGGACTCCGGGTCTGCATCTGAGGGATCAACAGGATCCACCTCTAGCTCTTCGCCAGCAATGGATTCATCTTCTGGCTCTGCCGCGAGCCTGTCAGCAGGGTTTTCTGCTGGCGCGAGTGGATCGGTTGATGCATCGTCCGGATCGGAGCCATCGAGTTCAAGCTCTAGCGATGTGGTGACAGCCGCAGGCCGTAACAACAGCAGATCGTCATCATTGTCATCTTCAGAGACTGAGCTATTGTTATCAAGGTCCGCTTCTGGGAGTTTCGGTCGCAGCAGTTCAGGATCAACGGTCAGCACCAATTCGACTAACAGTCTCGACAACTCCAGAGGCAGCAACGACGCCTCAAACTCGGAGGCATCTGAAGATTCCAGTTCGACATCAATGCGTTCGTCATCTTCCTCATCGTCATCTTCGTCTGGGTCTCTGGAGATTGACAGTCTCACTCCGTTGCCAACAGATTCCGCCTCATCGAGCGGCGTGTTGCAGCTATCGCCCATCAGCGACGACAGTAGCAACGGCGCTAATCCTCTATCGGCGGACGGCAGTCTGTCTCCGACAAGCGGTGGAGACAGTGGTGGAGACAGTGCGCTGGGCTCTAACACTATAACTTTTATTATCGTGGGAAGTGTGGCGGCAGTGGCGTTGCTGTTTGGAGTTTTCTATCTACGACCGAAGCGGGCCAACCCCCTCGAACAGTTGACTCCGCGTGAGCCTCCGCCGCCAATGGACCGCACTGGAGCGTATCGATACGATCGGGCAGTCGAGTCAGAGCCTGCGGGTCCGTATGATGCCTCCAGTACCCCTCGGGCATTATCTGCATCCATCTAGTGGGTAAATTTACGTAGCAAGTAGCTTTTTGAAAACGTAGGACGTAGTATTAGTAGAGACAAGTAATTATGAGCTTGCAAGCGACCAAATCATGGTTCATCGACTGGCAAAAGGCAGTTTTGTTATTGTTTTGGATGTAACTTCGTCCAGCTCGAGACGAGAGGAATCCGTTAGTAGTACACAATGCCAGTACTTCTCTGAATCTCGTAAAAACCTGTAGCAACGATGTACATAACACTCAAGTTAGCGATCAATAGTCAGGGCATTGTAAGGTGGGGTTTACGTACGGCTCTTGAGGAAATCATAGCTCGAAGCTGCATCAAATCCCGAGTTTTCCACCACGAAGCTCTCTCGATACTGGATCTGTGTCTCCTTGGAACGATCTAGCATGGCGATCACGTGCTGGCGGAAGTCCACTACCGTTTCCTCTGGTTCCTCTTTTTCTGCTTCGTCAGCACTCACAGAAGGCTTCTCGTCCGAAGGCACCATTGGACACGCTACGTCGCCCACTACGATATACGGCACTACTTCATTTAACTGTGAGAGCACAGCACGACACACTCCAGCGTCCATCTCGCTCGCTAGATTCGTGGGCGGGTGGAAAATATTACTGTCGTCGTCCTGCGTAGATCCTGCATCTTCCTCTGCAGGACACACTCGTTCGTTCTCATCCTTGTGCACCTGTATCTGTTGGTCTTGGAACCGCTTCTGCTCTTTGGCGGCTGCGCGCTTCTGTTTCAGTTTCAGCTTAGATCTCTGCCGTTTCCGACGGATCACCGCTGTCTTCTCTAGTTCGTCCTGTTCTGGCTGCTTTTGTAGCTTCTCCACTGGTGTCTCCGCCGTTCTCGACGGCATTACAGGACTGGCATCCTCCTCCCCGTCCGTCTCCTCAGCGTCCTCCTGTTCCTTGAAGACCTGCCACTCAGGCGACGCCTGTACACTTGGTAGTAGGTCGCTATAGGGCAGGAACACAGCCTCGTCCTCCGATCCGCTCTGTGTTTCCTGGCTGGAAGACTCGGCCACGAACGACTCGGACGACGGCAGCGCAGCTACTACCACCGCCTTATTCTTGGCGGCCAACGCCTCGGCTTCGCTCGCCAGTAGCTTACGAGCCTGACGCTGCTCCCTGGCAAAGGCCACTTCTTCGTCTTCGTCATCATCTTCTTCCTCCTGGTTGCGACTTCTTTGTTGTTGTTTCGTCAGTGTCAGCAGTGGGGGCGCGGGCTGAACGGCCTTGGCCTTCCACAGTAGCTGCTTGAGCAGCGCGGGCTGCTGCTGTTTGGGCTGACGGGGCTTGGGACGGAAGCGGCGGGCGGGTGGCGACCTGCTGCTTCTGTTGCGATTGTTACTATTGTTGCTACGATGTGGCTGAGGCTCAGATTGCTCCTGCTTTTGCTGTTGCTGCTCCTTGGGCTCCGCTAGCTGCTGTTTGATGTCTGCTGGATGCTGCTTGATGTCCTCTGGCTGCTGCTCCGGCTGCTGGTTGTCGGCGGGCGCTGGGGCCTTGCGACGATAGCGCAGCGCGCCGCTGGACGATGCGGACGTGAACACTCGGCGCTCGGGCGTTTTCCCCATGGCAAAAAGGTTTTGAGATTTGGGACTGGAGGGTCGGATCGCCTTCTTCTTGGCTTCGGAAATTGTTTTGTCGCCAAAAGCAACAATTTCGTGCAAAATGCCAATACAAACTTCAAGTGTTGCCCTTCTAGAAAGTTGCTAAAAATCACGAAGTGACGATACCTTTTTTGTGTTGCATGGCAAACGTGAGTTTGAATAAAAATGAAATTCATTGAAATGCATTTGATGCTACGAGCTGGAAAAACTGTCCGCTGATCCACGCCGTTGCCGCTTGCTGCTTGTCCTTTTGCAGTGTCGCCCGCCTTCCACTTGAGTCATCGACCCCTGGTATTATTCCCTCTTCGAAGCAGCTCCCAAACGATTGCGGTGCTGAGCTCCCGTCGTCCTCATTTGGTTGCTTAGTTCTCCTCCGTTAGCACGTTGAGCACCACGTTGAGGTTGCCGTCGCTCTTTTCCAGAATATCAATGACGCGTGCTGGGCTGACGTTCGGGAAGATGCCACTGACAATGGAGAGCTGCTCGGCCCACTTGACTTCGGCCTCGGAGAAGGCCACAGACGACGCGATAGACGGCGTTTCCTCCGTCTCCTGAGCAGGAGGGGCCCCCTCCACTGGGGCGGGCGGCGGGGTGACCACTAGCGGCTGCTGTGTCGACGGTTTCTGATCCGGCTCAGGCGCAGACACGGGTGCGGCGACGGGTGCCGCCGTGGCCTCTCCGGCCTTCTTCTCTGGAATGAGACGGTTAATCTGGCCCACGAGGCCCTGGGCGAAACTGGAGAAGCCAGTGGCTGCCGTCTTGGGCGAGTCGGCGCTGTCCCTAGCCGCCTGATCCAGTGTCACGCTCATGTTGGGGGCGGCACTCGAGGCGAAGTTCGAGTCGCGCTTGAGCTGCTCGAGCGTGACGGCGAGCGCCTGCATAAGGTGCTCCACGGACTTGACGAGGGGGTCCGCCACCTGGTCCTGGAACTCCGTCTGGCGTCGCGTGGCAGCCGAGAATTTGAGCGACTGCACAGGCTCAGCGGAGCTCAGGAAGACGCGCAGGGCCTCCTGGAACTCGGCGTCCGTTGTCACATTGACGCAGTCGCCTTCGGGATCACGATACTGCACGACGAAGTCCCCCACAGGCAGGCGGAAGGTCTGCGCCATGAGCTGCTTCAGCTCAGCCAGCGAGAAGCCGCGTAGATCCACGCGTGTGCGGTGGATGTCCCCATTGAAGGCGACCTTGAGCGCCACTTGCTGCGATGCCATCGTTACTCTTTTGCTTGTTTGTTGTTGTGAGAAAAGGAGAAGGAAGGGATTCCAAGAATGTCCAGATAAGGGGTAGGGTATTGTACATACTTAACAACTGAGCCGGCGTCCGACGATAGAAGCGACATATCGGACGGTGGACAGATACAGTGACGAGCTTCTGTGTTTAATATTTGTTTTGAAAATGTAGGTATGCAATTGCATTTGTCTGGATGCTCGTGGGTGTTTAAGCCATTCAACAGCGCATGAAGGCCATGGAGTGTTTGGAAATGAAGTGCTTTTTCGTCGGCTTGGGTGGCGGAGATTGCCGCAACAGCTCTTTCTCCTTGGTGATGGCGTTGTTGGCTTTAACAGCTTGCATTGATGAAGCTTGGACAGGTAGCTGATTTGATTTCATCGACGTAGCCAGACAAATGCAATTGCATACCTATATTTCAATACAAATATTAACACAGAAGCTCGTCACTGGAAATGGATCCACTTGTGTCTGGGAGCAAGAAAGCAAAAGTGTCTGCATGTACATCCGCGCACGAGAAAACTTCGTGCAGATCATGCCCCAGGAGCACTTGGCAGCTTGCCTTGGGATATGGCACAACGCAGTGTTCAGAAGACCTCATCTAATCACGGCCATAACCGGCGCTTTCACACTGTAAACACGTGAGAGACCTTCATTCTGTAGCTTCAATGTAGCCACTGGCTGATCTTTGCGACCTTCACTCTGTACAGCTTCAACGAAACAATACCACACAAGAAAAGCATGACGAGAAGTGTGGTCAACCACTCGCTACTGTCAGGAGGCCATAGCTAGTCAGTTGGAAGTACAGCGCGCAGCCCTGACCAGTACAGTCGCTAGATTCACCTCACCTCATTATTTCTTCCGCGCTCCAAGCCACACTACATCTCGACAGCACATCTCGGATGGAGTCGAATCAGTCGTCCACCCAAGGCCAAGCTGCTTCCATCATGCTCGTCAAGGCCAACGATCCCGCAACAACCATCATAAAGGAGCAGAAGCAACGCGAACTGCAGTCTCAGCCAGCGAAGGCGAGATATATCTCCAAGCAATCGATGGCCTACATGCACTGCTGAAGAGTTAATGCTGCTTCTCTTGTATGCAATAAATAAAATCACCGCATTTGCTCAATTCTTGCAACTACCTTCATTGTCGGCGTCAACCTTTTAGCATCATGCAACAGCATGACATGTTACCTTCCTTCGCTCCTAGTGAATCCACCAAGCAAAACGCGATCGCTATGAGTTCATCTACACTCTACTAGGTAGTCGTCGGGTGAGGTTCAATTTCGTCTCATTTTACTTCCACCGAAGCTGCCTCGTTAAGACCAAGAACGATGTCAAATTGCCGAAGCAAGCACAAGGAAACCCGCGGCCCAACTAAAGGAAGATGTAAGCACTACATCGCCAAGCAGTCGATGGTCTTCATGATTAGCTAAGAAAGCTCATGAAAGTTTCTCCCTTACTGTGTAGGCAGCGAAAACCGCTAGGTCAGGAGTTGCAATCCCTGTCATAGCGACCCAACACATTGCATTTGAACGAGCCATACGTACAGCTCTTCTCTATACGCCCTGGCTGAAACAATTCTTGACACTGCATCTACTCCTCATCCGAATCGCCAAAGTTCTCTGTGCTCTCACCGAAACGCTCCGAGCGGTAGTTAGTGTAGGTCAGGAACTGGTTCGACAGTTTGGACTCGAACGTCGGCGTGAAGCCCGACGGCGTGAAGCCGAGGTCAGCATAAATATCTTTGCGAAGCATGCGCGCTTCTCAAATCACAAAACATGTTAGAACCTCCTCAAATCATGAGCCCAGATGAAAAACGCTCTGCCCGTACCCGTGATGAAGGTGCAGGGAGTGAGAATCTTGGCTTTCTTTCCTGGAACGCTCTCCACGTCCTTCGCCAGCCAGCGCATGGTCTCAGCAAATTTGCCCATGCAGTTGGTGTTCTACATTTCAACCAGACCAATTCAGTCAATGAATAGCTACCAGTTCCTTATCAGCAGCATAACTCACCAGGTAGGGCGGATCTACGAGAACGTAGTCAAAGAAGTGATGGAACTTGTCCGGCAGGTTTGTGGGTTCATTGTAGTTGTAGAATACAAAGTGGCCACTGTACTTTTCGTCGAAGCGGCGGTCGTACTCAAACAAGAACACGTTGTCGCCCTTGATGGGCGAGTCGCTCTCCTCCTGGATCTTAAGGAAGTCGCGGTAGGCTGCTGGCGTACTCACGAAGGCGATGCGCTTCTCCTTGCTCTGGTCAATGGCCTCCTGCGCGAGCGCACGACCAGTCCGGTCGTCATACCAGCTGCAACAGAATAAATTGTCAGCACGTGAAAAGGGTAGAGTGAGGTAGAACGAAATGCTTGGTATACGCACAACTGCGAGAGACGAAAGTCCTCAGACACAGCCGCGTCCTTCTGCGCCTGTTGCGTCTGCAGATGCGCCTGCAGCGCCGCCAAAGTGTCGGCCGAGAGCTCGCTTGAGAGTAGGGCGTCCATGGTGGTGCCAAGAGCTAGTCAAAAGTAATTTTCAACCAATCGTTCGAGTACTGTAGAGTTTGTTTTGTTAGAGATGGGTATGAGCTTCAGTCTAAGTATCCGTGGGCTCTACCGCTATTTCATCTACTCATCTTCCTCATCACCAGGCTCCTCGCAAGGACCGAATCTTTCAGACTCGTAGTTGGTGTATGTGAGGAGGTGGTTGGATAATTTCGACTCGAAGCTCGGGTAGAATCCCGTCGGGGTGAATCCCAGATCCGCCTTCATCTCCTTACGCAAAAGTTGAGCTGTGCATTCACAACAAAGCAGTCGATAGTGAGTACTCACAGACAAATTGCATTGTAATTGGTACAGCTTCCTCTCGTACAGTTGATAAATGTGGACGGGTTAATGACGCGGTCCTTCTTGCCGGGTACCGCTTCCACATCCTTGGCCAACCATCGCATCGTGTCGGAGAACTTCTCCAAGCAGTCGGGACTCTGCAGTAGCAGTAACGGAGCACAACGTGAGTGACTACGCGTCCACTAACCAATAAACTACCCATTGCAACGCACCAGATGCGGCGGTTCCATCAACACGTAGTCGAAAAAGTGGTGGAACTTCTCGGGCAGGTCTGTGGGCGCGTTGTAGTCGTAGAAGCAGAAGCGGTCGCCGTACTTCTCGCCGAACCGGCGGTCGTACTCGAAGATGTAGACGTTGTCGCCCATGACAACGCGCTTGGCCTCGTCCTCCTCCTCGCTCTGAATTTTAAGAAAATCGCGATAGGCCGCGGGGGTGCTAACGAAGGCGATCTTGAGTTCGCTGCTGCTATGGTCGATGGCCTCCTGCGCTAACGCACGCCCGGTCTTTTCGTCATACCAGCTATGAGCCAATTGGTGCACCATGTGAGCATTGGAATGTGTAAATGTGACATTCGCAGCCACGTACAATTGCGAGAGGCGGAAATCTTCCGATACGGGGGCATCCTCTTCCTGATGGCGCTCCAGTAGATGCGCCTGCAGCGCTGCCAACGTCTCAGCAGACAGCTCGCTCGACAACAATTCGTCCATGGTGTGCGTTAATCCGTAAATGCCTGGTTGTTGCTTTACATTACGATTTACGAGCAGTTTGAGTACCCAAGCTTCACTTAGTTTTACGTTTTGTACACAGGGCACTCAAATGTCAGGCATTTACACAGCATCTTGGAAGTGCGCCAAGAACAGTCGATGCATTCTGGAGTCGAGACGTTAATGCAGAGATAAGCATTCTGGAGTTACTCAAGTGCAGGCTTTTAGGACTGGGGAGGCTTGCAGCTTTCGAGCGTTAGCTGCGAGACCAAGATCGTGATTGGAAAGACCATTGCTTAGAAATATGCTGCACTCGAAGTGGTGGGCTTTATGTCTGGGCACATGGGGATCATATCCACTCACACGGTGTGGAGAAGCACAACTGCTTCGACACAAGAATCCGATACAAGATAGCTATCAAGAACCACGAGTTTGCACTGACACACTTTGTGTAGCTAGCTTGGAAGTGCGGCGCTAGAGCGCAATGCATGCAATCAAAGCCAAATGCAATGCAACAGCTACATGTAGTATCCATTTTGTGGTATGTGATAATGGCAGGTATGCAAGGTTACTACATAGAGGACGATTAATACTTTATTTAAAATTATTCAACGATAGCAGCAAGTTACGTCCGCTGTTATTCGTCCTCGCTGATAGCATCAAGCGGTGTCCATAATCCTCGTCGGCGCTGCTGCATGTCCAGCGTGAACGGGACGCGTCTGCCGGCCACGGTCACTGTGTCGCAGTCTGTGTATGCGGCGGGAATGCCGATAAGTCCTGGTTTACTCGCCGTCGTTTTAGGGCACACGCACTTGGGTCCTTTGCCCAGCAGCTTGCGCCAGAAGCTGCGGCGGAGTTTGGCCGGGTTGGCAACAGGACAACTGATGGGGCAATTGGCAGCTTGTTTGGCCTCGCTGGTACTTTCGCTGGTGTGATTGTGCTTGCGTCGTAGCATGAAGTCTTTGGCTCCGCAGGTGCATTGTGTCGCGGTTGCAGCGTCCTTCTTGGGAGCCGGAATAAATACGGGCATGGGCGGCGCCAACATGGTGAGTCTTGCTCTGTCCGACTTCGATCTCGCGTCGGGTAGTGTGCAAATTCGGGAATGAAGTGGAATGTGCGTGGTGCCACACAGCGTCTCCGGTCAAACACACGCATCCTGTCGGAATGACGCTCGTTCCCGACTTTATGTGCACGCAGCCTTCGCCGACGGCACGGGTTACCACGGTCTCTGCCCCGTTCCGCTGTCCGCCCACAAAATACTGCGATGCCATTGGTTGTAGGCAGACTGCTTCAGTGTGGCTGCGTGAGTGCAACAAGACATAGCAGGCCACCACAGCGCAGAGCTTGACTGGAGATCACGCAGGCGTTTGCTGTGCTTCAGAGAGAGCGATGAATCTTAGGATTCTCTGCGTTGAACAGCTCCAAGTTAGAGATAATTCCCTGAAGAGACTTAAATGGAGACCCAAGGACTCCAGGAAACTTTGCTCCTGCGTCAGCGCGAGTGCCTCGTGTCGGCGTTAGAACAGAAGATGCATGCGAAGTACGTAGGTGCATTCACTCTGTAGACCACTTCAACTTGGTTGTCTCACTTCGAAATGCGTGTCGATTATTTTTAACGAGTAGAGTGCGTGTACAACTTGTAGCTTGGTGAAGAAGGGATAGATACTACTGACGACAACTTGGACGAATGGGACGACTTTCCTTCGGAACGTGAAGACGTCGTGTAGCTCGCGGTGCTGTTGCCGCTGCTTGGAGCACCAACCACATACCTGCTCTTGCTGCTGCTCTCCATGATCTGGGCACAGGCGATTTCCACGGCACCTGACGTCGAAAATGTGGCGAGGCACCCGAGCAGAAGGTGGTTTTGCACTGTGCCAATTCAAGGCCCGCCGTTTCTTTCCTCTTAATACGGCAACGACAGCAGGATACGGAGGCAGCCATGCACATGGTCTTGTTCTTGCCGAAGCTCCAGCGTCGCGCATGCCAAACCCGGATTGGGAGCACCGTGGCGCCGTGCCTCTTCTCCATCTTCCACGTCAGCTTTCTTATCTGACCTCAGTACACGTACCTCAACGGCGACATGAACGCATCGGCCATGACCGGCACCGCCAGCAAACGGATTATGTCACCTACTGAATCGATGAGGCCTGTTTTTCAAACGACAATGATATTCGGAACGAGTTGTCGAAAGAGCCCGCAAGTGGAGAGATCACCACGGACGCGGTCGGATAAATGGTTTATCAGTAGGAAGTCGACGGAGTGCAAAAGTGGTAACTGGCACGTTCACCGTCATGGACGTATGATGTCTTGATACGCATTTCCTCCAATGTTGGGTTAATTACATCGTCCATCATGTCGTCCGGAAACGCTTCCGACTGAGAGAATTGCTGGAAGTTTGTGCAGAGTGATATCTGGTGAACGCATGAGTATTCCCTTTAATCTATATATATTTCCCAAAACAACGCGAAATAGCAACGATCATGCAGTTGTCGGCTTTACTTCATACGGAAGGTTTGCATGTAGTGGAACGCTGTCATGAAAACGTTTTTAGTGCTCAAAGCAATAGACTGCCGAATCACCAAATCCTCCTCCATCCGATTCATTTTTGGGATCAGTTTTGGGAGTTTTGGGATTTCAAACAAACTCCGATCCTGAAAATGCTCGCCGCCGACGATGCGCGGCCGTCGCGTCCGCCGTTGCTGCTTCCGTCCCCGTCGGCCAGCGTGGCTCCCAGCGAGCGTAGTCGCCATTCGCGCAAAGTAACGCGCGATATTGCAGCATTAGATTTCCTGCAAAACATCCCCATGCACTCCGAGACCGTCGCCGCTGCCGCTGCTGAGCCGCCGGCCCCGTCGGAAGTGAACGCGGAGACGTCTACGGCAGACGGTGTCAGCTCCGCTGCACACACTACAGGGACAGGAGCAGTTGGAGGGCCCGAACCGGAGCCGCTGGCCGGACGAAGACTCCCGGGGATGGAAGCCACGATCGTCCATGTGCCGCCACTATTCCGCCACCGGTTCACAACCAAATTCCCGGCGGCGTCGGCCGTCGTACGACGCTGGGAGGGCGTCACAGCTCAACAAGGACTACTAGACTCCCGGCTGTTTTTCTCCAGAGGCTGCGGGTATCCGTTGGCCACGTCCACCATCATTAATGTACAGTAAACACACCGTCAGCATTGAAAAACAGTGGTTATATAGTGTATCTAATATGATTGACTTGCTGTTGTAGTATAATGGCAACGAGACGACAGCCAGAAGGAGGCGCTTTGCGTCGATCAGTGGCCTGGCACTCGAGCGACCATCGCCGACTCACTACGACTGGCGAGGGACGTCCTACTTCCGCTTACTTCACGCCACCTGGTCGGCCTGCGACCCGGATCGAGATCGGGAAGACGCGCACCCGGAGCGAGTTCCATTCTCTGCCAACTTCCTGGACGATCCGGAGTTCCGACAGGGTCGTCATCGACACGTAGTGCGAGGCGACAAAAGTCTCGGCCCCATTGTGTCCAGCATTTTGCTGTTCGTGAAACCCCACGACCTCAAGGACGAATTGAACCAGAAATTCCAAGAGAAACACGCCTGGTGGCTGCAGGATCCGTCGCTGTCGTTGAGTAAACTCCGACATCTCAAGCGAGAGGCACTGATGTGTAGCCAGCGTCTGAACCTCGAGGTCGCGACCGTGGCTCTTGCCTGTGTGCTCTTCGAGAAGCTCGTACTGCAGCACTACGTCACCAAAGCCAATCGCAAGCTCTACATGGCTGTGTGCTTCCTCTTGGCTGTCAAGTTCAACGAACCCTGCGCATCCGACGAGCGAAAACGTGTCATCCGGCTGCTTCTGGAAGATATCGACCGAGCGCACGCGTTACCATCGCGTGACGTTCTCACAGCAGAGTTCACAGTCTACGCGCAACTTTCCTTCAATCTTCACGTCCCGATCGCTGAGGTTCATCCGCATTTTGTTCGACTACTAAAACTCATTGAGAGTAACCCACGCAAATATCTGGACGACGACATCTTCACGTCTTACTCGGCGTTGTTGGCGATGGAGGAACAGGCGGAGAACCTTGGTATGGTGTTATCGGATCCGTTAGATGGCTTTGATGAGACCACAGACGGCGAGGCGAGACTGAGTGACGAAGAAGACGACGCTAGTGAAAAAGACGGCGAACAAAGAGGAAGGAAGCGGAAAAACTCTGGAGAACGAGGCAAAGGCAGCTCTGGGGATCCATCCATGTTTCCTTGGCACAATGTATCATTCACACAATGGTGGAGAAAGCGACGCAGTCCACGAGAGCGGCATGAATCAGCATCTACTGCCATTTGAGACTGGAATCATCTATTACGTTTATGCTATTGTGTCCCAATTACTCGAAGCCAAGTAGAATGTTTTCCGTGCCTTCTCCATAGACTCGCACACGCTCGAAGAGGACGTCAATGATCTCTGCACGGACATTTGGAGGGATTGTTGATGCCATTTCAGGGTCCAGAGGTAAAACAATTCCTAGGCGAATCGCCTTCCTGCTATCCTGGAGGAACGTCTGCATCTCGGTCCAAGTAACATACACAGTCTGCTGCTGTTGCTCCGTGTCGCTGTTGAACACTTCGACTCGGAAGAGCTGCTGTCTAGGGACAAGGAAGATGGAAATGAAGAAGGAAACGTAATGGATCGACCGAACTCCCTGGTACCACAGCTCCTGATTGTGCAGGGAGGAACCTGGTGCCGTTGCAGGAGCCTGGATAACTGATTCAATCACTGTTTCGTGCGTAGCTCGGACGTCTTGTTCAAGTTCTCCAGAGGTCTCGGCAATTGCCTCATCACGAGCTCTCCATTCGTTGATTCGACGAGCGGCAGTCGAGTGTCGCTGTCCTGTTTCTCGCTCGAGATCATTCACAAAGCGTTCTTTGTGAGCGTTTCCTCCTCCTCTGGGTCGTTCTGGTCGCATGGGCATCGGGGCACTGGGTATCGTTGCAGTTTTCAAGACGCGAGGCGTTTGAGGCGACACGAGTGTGGAACGTGGGGAGGGAGTGTACAACTTGCTTGATGGCGGTCGGAATTGGGGAAGCACACTCTGCTGCTGGATCTGCTGCTCCAGCTTCTCAAGTTTTAGTCTCAAAGTCTTGCGTTCTTCTTGAAGACTCTCCACAGTGGCGGCCTGTGCAATCTCCACTTCTTTGCGTTCCTCAAGCAGCTTCCGGTAGTATTCCTCATTCAGCCGGAACTTACACGCCATATTTTCTCGGGCTTCTCGTTCACGCGTGGCTTCCAACTCGAGCGCCAACAGTTTCTCTTGATCGGGAGTGAAGCCTCCGTTGACCGCTGCAGTCTTCAGTTTGTCATACACTCGTGTAAGCGCCTTCTCCACTTGCTCCTGTCGAGTGAGCAACTGAATCTCAGCGAAACTCATGAACTCCCGATGGAAACAGAGTGCCAGATCGATGGCGCATTCCTTGTCGGCTGTGGCTCGTGTGACTGCATCGGCCATCCATTTGGCATACGGCGCGTTAGTGAAAGGAGGTGGAGCGTGGTCATCGTCCATCGTGATCTGCTCTAACGACTGCACCAAGAACTCTTTCAACGCCTTCAGCTCCTTGACACAAGCTAATACTGACTGAGTGACGTCTGTCGATACTTCGAACCTGTTCCCTGGTGCGCTGAGGATGTCGGTCGACAACCGAATGGCCTTGTAAACGATATTGATCGCTGTCGTATCTCGCTTCGCAAATTTCTCGAGCAATTGCGCTCTGGTCTGTGCAGCTGTAATCGATGGAGAAGCAGACGAATCCGACGTATTTGTCGTCTGTTTACGAACTTCATTCTCGGCATGCGCATACGTTGCGAACTCTAGTTGTTGAGCCTGTTTGTGGAGTTCATCGGCTAATCGTTTTTCGTGCAGCTTGGTCACTTCTTCCAGCGCTTCTGCGTGGGTAGCTGTTGCCAGTGCAAGCGCATCGTCACGAGCTTTCGAGATCTCTTTCAAGACACGAGCATAATCTTCTGCAGTCTGATTCATAACATCTTCGTGGTATCGGATTAAACTTCGCCGCTTCTCCTCTTCTTCTAGCAACATGTGATCCCATTCTTGTTGGGAAGCATAGGCGGATTCCTGCCACCACATCGAGGACGCTTCCAACCGCTCAATTCTCGCTGTTAGGGAGGCAATTTTACACTCGTCATCCGTGATTTGCTGATATAATTGCTGCTCCATGTTTTCTTTCATCTGCTGAGTCGATTCGCGAACTTGTGATTCATTTTGCAAGAACTTTTGATAGATCATCAGTCTGAACGACGAAGCGAATGGAGTGGTGAGGTTTGCAGTGTCATCAGTCAATTCACCACTGCAGTGAAGTTGGTTTTCAGCTAGAAATCGCAGTTCTTCCTTCAGTTCGGTACTCAGATCAGCGAGCTGTTTCCGTGCTTTGATGTATTCCTCATATATCTCCATGGGATTCTCAAAGCTGGGTACTCCATGGGAAGCAAGAAACGCTTTCTCGCTCTCGAGTGCCACCTCACGCTCCATTTTTTCTTCTATCAGAGTGTTTTGCCCTGCGAGAAGTGTCTGGTAGACAGCAAGCCGCGATTTATGAGGCTCTTGGAGGTCGAAACCGAACTTGTTTTCCTGTAAGAATTCGTTCTCTTGAGTTAGATCCTCTTCGTGTTGGTGAAGTTGTGCAAGCGTTTGAACTAGACGTTGGAACAGTTCCAGCCGAACTGCAGAAAGCTCTGGAATAGTTGGCATGGAGGCATCACTGACAGCTTCGAGACTTGGAGGGAATAGCTTGTTAGCTCGCAAAAAATCGAGCTCTCGTGCCGCACAACTCTCAGCCGTTCGCTTGTCATCAAGTAAGAGCGACATTTTGTCATGAAGCTGCTGGTAAACTTCAATCCGACAAAAGGCTCCATCTCCAACGTTTAGAATTGAGGAAAAGACCTCTTTGGATTCCAAGAATGCTCGTTCCTCAGCTGACGCCTTGTCCATTTCGTGTCTGGTTTGTGCTAATTCACTCTTAACGCTTTCGAGTTTTTCAGTTTTCCGTTGGATTTCTAGATTCAGCGAGGATTCCAGTTCATTCTTCTCGGTCTTTAACGAAGCCTCCACTTCGGTCTTCTCTGATCGCGAGCGATCTGCTGCTTGCAGCAACCGACTATAGATTTCAACACGTGCACTCAACGACAGGGAGATTTCCTTATCGGTATCGTCCTCGTCGGAGAGAAGATTGTGCTGACGTAAGAACACTACTTCGCTTTTCATGTCTGCTCTCCTTTGCTGGGCGTCGTCGCAAGCACGTTGCTGCTGTTTGATAAGCGCTTGTACGAGTTCAATCCGTGTTGACACAACTTCCACAGGAGAGAGCAAAGCTTGAGCCTCGAAAGCTGCGAGTTCTTGCAGCAATTTGCTTTCTTGCGACGCTTCTTTCATGAGATGATCTCGAGTTTCCTCCACCTGCTCCAACGCACTTTTCAGAGTTTCTTTGTCTTGCATCAAGTGAGATTTGTCGACGGTCAGAGCATCGATTTTTGTTAAGTCGTCTTTCATGCAGTCCTTTAGATCGGCGATAGATTTCACTGACTCTGGTTGTGGAAGCACTTGTTTCAGCCATTCGAGCATAGAATTGTAGCTCCGTAAGTCTTCAATAATTGCATCCATCTCGCTCAACGCAGCGTCGATACCACTATCAGTCTGTGCGACTTCATCACTTGCATTTATCTCCGGTACTTCACTATCAGATTTTAGTGAGCTTCGCTTGAAGCAAACAGACGACTCGCGTATCTGTTTTGTCTGTCGAAGAACTTCTCGTGCGCCTACCAGGAAAGTCGGCAGTTCCTCAACTGGTTTTTGGAATCCCAGCAGCTCTTTAGTCTGCTCCACAATCATCACCCGTTCATTGATCTCCTGCACAAGCTTTTCGATGTTAATCGATGCTGGTGAATTTCTTTCCTGGTTCTCTCGAACTTCGTCCAGTGTGATCTGCTGCAGAAAATAGTCGTAATCTTGAAGATGCTGCGCCATATCTCCAATCGACGCAAGCACAGGATGCGAACGGGATTCAATCGAGTCAATTTCGCGATTACTCAGCGATGTGGCCGATTCGGAATGCTTCAAATTCTGGAAGGAGTTCAATTCGTCTGAATCTCCAGTTGAGTTTGTCTGAAAGAGTGCCAGTCTCCCTGTCATCCTTTGGAGAAGAGCCACACCTTCCAGAAGAGAAACTAGTTCTTGTCGTGGATCATTCAGTTTAAACAGTCGACGAGATAACGATAACAGAGCGCAGTGCTCCCGTACGAGACGACTGATCTCACTTCCCACACTAAATGCACGACTTTGAGGCTCATTTTGCCTTGACTTGGCCACCCAACGAGAAGTTTGCGACAAAAGACGATGATAGTCGCTCATTACGAGTGAAATATCCATAAGGGGGTCTGCTAAGAACGGAGACGGTGGCGAAGATTTCTCGTCATGTGAGACAAAAAATGAAAGTGGATCCTGCGGCCTGTCTTCCTCTTCGTTTGAAAGTTCACAGAGATTTTGATCAAATTCTTGCATCGCGTCGTCAACTAGGGTGTCAACATCAATTTGAAGCTCGTCAAACGTGGGAGCATGCGACGGCGTTCGCGTCTGAACTCGCAGGGCTTCGAGACTCGCTCTGCTGCTTTCGTTACTTGCCGGGTCTCCTCCGTTCTTGCTCTCATCACTCAAAATGTTTTGTGCAAAGTCTGCCATGAGTTGTAGTTCTTCCACAAAAGAGAGTACTGCTATCACCTTGTTTTTAAGTGTTGATGGTGGGTCTGTTGCAGTAGGCTGACGACGAGGACTACCGAGTTTTGGCTGTAGCAGCTGGAAGTGCTGCAAGATTTTCATGAGCTGCTCTATAGAGTCCACGATATCATCAAGCATCACGGTGCCATCGTCGTCTTGTAATTCAAGCGCATTCTTACAGCGTTCAGCAAAATCCGCATTTCCTTGCCAATCTTCTCCACCCGCACCCGAGTCCGACCGATTGTTACAGACATTGGTTGTTGTTCGCTCAGACTCATCACGTTTTGAAGTCTGCAATTGTGTCTGTAGTTCGCTTATCTCCGCCTTTAGTGCTGTTATAACACCCTCAGCATGTTTGAAAGACTTAGACGTCTCACTCAACTCTTCCCGAATCGTAGCTAGGGACGCTGCGTGCTCTTCCTCTTCAAGCCGAGATCGCTCTAGCAACTCGTTAGCTTTCGCCAAATGGGCTTCGGTGAGGCGCAAGCGCATCTGCTCCAGTATGTCATCCATCTTGCTGTGGTCCGCCTGCGTCGGTGGGTGAGAGGATTCAGTCAGCTGCTTGTTCAGGCCTTGCTCGGGTCTTGTTGCATGTTGCTCCAATAATTCAATTTCGTGATGATGTGCCACGTGAAGTGTCATCAGCTCTAGTACGTTCGCACAGACAGCGCGTGTCATTTCGTCTGCCGCGTCGTTTAACAGAATCAGTAGCTCCTGGTTTTCCTTTTCAACGCGAGGATGAGAAGTGCACTCGTCCACATTGTGATTGCTCTCCAATCGATGGTCTTTCTCCGGCAGTAACGAAATCTGACGATGCTCTCGATGCGCCTCTGCTAATAGACCAACATCATTGCCACGCATTTCCTCCAGTCGAGCGATTTCAACGCCGTGATCCTCATGCATTCGCGCAATTTCACCGCAATTCGTTTCAGTCAAACGCTCAACTTGAGCCTCATGATTTGCGGTTATCTGGGCAACTTCGACTCGGTGGGCCTCGGTCAACTTCTCCACTTCCTTTAAGTGATCTTTTGTGAGTCGATCAACTTCGGTGCGATGCCCTTCAGTTTGCTCGGTAATTAAACTGAGGCGGTCTACTGTGAGCTCTGAAACTTGGTGGCGAAGATCATCCTCCAATCGATCAATTACTACCTGATGAGCATCCTTGAGTCGCTCAATTTCCCTTTGACCATCTCCCGAGAGACGAGAAACTTCGCTTTGGTGTTCAGCTAGCAGGTTCGAGATGTGATTAGTCAATCGGGTGACTTCATTTTGACTCTCTTCTTTCAGTTTGTTAACTTGAGCGTGATGATCTTCAGTCATCTGAGCGGCTTGAGCTCGATGGCTCTCGATCAGCTGCACAGCTTCACTGTGATGTCCATCCGTCAACTGCATGACGTCTTTGTCGTGCTGTACCATTAGAAGATCGATCTCCTGGCGCTGGATGTTGAGAGACTGCTGCAATGTTTCACACTGTTTCATCTTGTTCTCGAGATCCTGTCGCAATAACTCAACTTTGATCCGATTCTCTTCATTCTCCTTTAGTCGTTGATCACTTAAAGCAGCAAACTGCGTCTGGAGTTCAATGTAGGCGCTGTTTAACGTATCAAGAGCATTTTTGATCTTCCGCGTATCAGTCGTCTGCTCCCCTAAATTCTCCTGCAAGTACTCTAACTCTTTCTTCTTCTCACTCAGAGCATGTTGCAGGCCACTGATCTCACTGGCAGCTCGAGCGCCTTCTTTCCGCAACCCAGCAATTCGTTCTTGAAGTTCCTCAACTCGAATCACGATCTCCCTCTTCTCGTGACCAAGTGAAAGCATCAGTTGCTCTTTCTCCACGCGAAGGCTCGAGAGACTCAACTCAAGGCTTTCATTCAGTTGAACCATCTCGTCTTTACTGCACATAACTCGATATAAATCGCCCCTCCAATCTTCAACCTCCATCCGTGATACATCCAAGACACATTGCGCTTCGTCTTTAGTCTTGCAAAGCTGCTGATTGAGACCATCCAGCTCTAGGATTTTGCCTTGAATGAGCTTGTCTTTCATTTTAATTTCTTGGTTAGCAGCATCAAGTTGTCGATCAGTGTCCTCGTACTTCTTCAGAGTTTCGTTGAGGGTCCAGATCTCTGCATGAAGATGCTGCTTTTCATCCATCACTGTCTCCAGTCTTGATGTGGTGTCACTCAGCCGCCCTTCGACTCCTTCAAGATGCCGAATTATGTCCTTTGCTGCAGACAACTCGAGCATATGAAGGTACTTCTCTGATCGCATCCGTTCGTCATTTTCAGCCAATGTTTCTTTCAACAACTTCTGGTACTGACACTGAATTTCTTCCGCTTGCATTGTGTGGAGCTCCACTTTCTCTTGAAGCGTCCTGTTCGCTTGACTGAGGTTGTTGAATTGGATCTCTAGCCGCTGCTTCTCTGCTGTGATCGTCTGCTTATCTCGTGTCATGATCACCAACTCCTGCTCTTTGTCTAGCAATTCATCACACACTTTCTTCGTGTCTTCTGCGTCCTGTTTAGTCTCCAGTCGTAGCAGCTCGATACGGCGTTGAGCTTCTTCTCCTTGTCTCAGAGCAAAGGCGAGCGATTCCTCCAGTCTCTCGATAGTTTGTTGACAGAAATCGTTCTTCTGTTTGAGCTCACTCTGCGCTCCATGCAGTCGACGGATCTCTCCATTTTTCAGCTCAATCTCCCCCTCTGTATGCTCTAATTGCAGCTTCATATCCATCTGCATCCGCTTGATCTCCAGCCGCACATTCTCCATGTTGAGCCGCATACTTTCCAGCTTTAGCTCCGAGTTTTCGAGCATCCCCACCTTCTGGTTCATGGATTCCTCCACCATCGACAGCTTACCAGACTCCAGTCGAAGAGCGTTCTTAGTTGCCTCCAACTCCTTTGCTTTGGACGACAGCGTCTCCGTCGTCAGCTCCAGTATCTCAGTCTTCGTGTTGACGGTTTGAACCGTGTCCAGCAAAGCATTCCGCAGTTTTTCAATCTCGTCGTCGCGGCTCTTGATGACAAACGTAAGCTCCAGGATGGTATTTGCCTTGACCTGGAGGCCCTCTTCCGCAGCTTTTAGAGCTCGATTAGTGGAGTCTAGCATCATATCTCTCTTCATATTCAACTGTTTGAGACGCCAGATTTCACTCTCCAGCTCAGAGAGAGCCATGTTCTTCTGCTCGACCAGCTCCAGAGATTGTTCAGCGTGAACCTCGTAACGTTCTGTTAGAGCAACTTCCCTGGCTTTCAGTATATCGATACGTTCCTGTCTGGTTTCCAGCTCAGCATCTTTCTCGCGTGTCGTGTCTTCTGCCTGTTTGTTCTGCTCTCGCATGGCCATCTCCAACGCTAAGACCCTCGAAGAGTGAGCCTCTCGTAGCTGCATTACCTGCGCTTCATGAAGGTTTACAGTTTTGTCATGCTCCTCTCTACTGGCTTGCTTGAGAGATTCCAACTCAGTCTCATAATGAAGAACCAGTGCGTCTTTTTCTCGTGCTCGTTCATTATGCAGCGTTTCCAGATCAAACTCATACTTGGCGACCAAAGCTTCTCTAGCTTGTGCTGCTTCTTCCTTATTTCTTGCCACTTCAGCAGCATGAGCTTCAGCCATCGAGTTCAATTTGTCTTGGTAGGACGCTATCGTCTGTGAGAGCTCCTGGGCAGCAGCAGAGCGGTTACTCTCAGTCTCTTCAGCATGCGTTTGCACCAGCAAATGCTTCTCAGCTTTGGAAGTAGCTTTCAAAACCTCCAGCTCTGATGTATACCGTCGGTGTAGATCTTCTATCTGTGTCTTGAGATCTGTCTTGGTGGTTTCAAGCTCGTCGCGCAATGCCTGTGTCTCTCGACACCGACGGTCTTCCATTCGGGTGGATTGGTCGATCTCAAACATTCGAAGCCGTGTGATTTCTTCTGCCGCCTTCTCGAGTAAATGCTCTCGTTCCTTTGCATAAAAGTGTTTAAGCTTTTCGAGGGTTTCGTTGCTTAGTTCTCGATGCTCCTGAAGCTGTCTCTCTGATCTGTCCGCCAATGCAGCAAGCTTAGTTGCAGCATTTTCCTTGATCGACAATATTTCGGCGGTCAAAGTCTTCTTCACGGCAGATAGTTCATCACTTGACGTCTGCTGGAGCTCGGCATATTCTGCTTGTGAACGCTGTAGTAGCTCTGTGTATGCCGCTTGAGTGCTGAAGTGGAGCTCATCTAGCTCTGCCTGAGCTTTCGTCTGAAGATCCTCAAGCGCAGCCTTGGCTGATCGCTCCCAATCCTCCTTCTCCACACGATTTGATGCTTCAAATGCCTTCACTCTAGACTCAGCCGACTGCCGAAGTTCCCGAAGCTCTTCAAGGTACTTCTTCTCCATTTCAGCGTATTTTTCATCCAGCTGCTCCAGCTTCTCGCGGAAAGCTTGGTCTTCTATCTCATGCTCACGCTCACGCGCTGCAACCAGTTCCGCTTTCTCGGTAGCATGTGCCTCGGATAACGACACCATTTCTTCGGCGTTATTATTCATCGCAGCTTCGAACCGATTCTCCCTGTAGTAAGCAAGAGTAGTGTGACGTGTTAAATTCTAACGGAGTCGAAGAAGAGCTATTCGTACATGTCGTTCTTAGCGTTCTCGTGCTGCTCATGAAGCGTAGCAACGTCCGATGACAGGCTTTGCAATGCAGACCTATTATATACAAGGGAGGAATTAGTGCAGGTTCGAGGAACAAACGAACAGACAGTGCTTGACGTACGCTGTCTGGTCGAAGGCGTCCGAGATATTGGGCAATTGGCTGTACATTTGATCCAGGTGCTGGTTGGCGGACATGGAGATCTCGAGAAACTTGTCGTTGTTGGACGTCAGCTGCTCCATGTCAACGCGATATCGTTCTTCGTTTGCGTTGATGCTGTCCTCGACAGACTGAAGACGTAATGGGGTAGCTATGGACACGGAAGTGTCGCCATATCCGCTGTTTCCTTCTGGCGCTGCAAAGAATGACGCCAAGTGGGACCCCGTTGGGAGTTCAGAAGCTGGGTGACGCGGTGTGCACCATGCCGCTTTCGTTGAGGGCCTCCCCAGTTCTTCCCCGTGATATGCCGGTGACGTTTCTCCATGGGGTATCGCGTCTTTGCTGGGTGGTCGTCGACGAGGAAGCAGAATCGAAAGACCGTCACTCTTGGACGAAGAAGCACGAGGCCTTTGAGGTCGATCAATTCGTGGCAAGACGGAGGTCTGGGTAGAATTTCGTGGAGATTGCTGGTTCTTGGATGTTGTGAAGCGTGGAGCCTTCCCCTCCACACCATAGGCAGCTTTTATCGAGCTGGGTGTCGACACCTTCGGGCGATGCGAGTCCGCCATTGTCACCTCGGTGTGAATACCCTGTCTGTGTACAGGGTCGCCTTCCAGAGTAGTTTCAAAACGCTCTGCTTTAAATGGCTTTGACTCAAAATTGTCTACTTGCTCACTGAACGAGATCGAGCAGACGTGAGTGCTCCTTGCGTGATTGAGAACGTGGGTTGATGCAATAATGCCTCCACGACTGTGACGCGAGTGCGAGGAGATGGAGTAGCTGGTCGTTTAACGACGGTTGGATAACGAGCATGATGCTTTGAATGCACGTTGAAGCCTCCTGTACTGGACTTGGTAGGGACACGCAGCTCGGCTTGCTTTGGGTCCAATGAACGTTGATTGGACAAGTTTAGTGATTCTCGTGCAGGAGGAGTCGGATAGAAGGGAGGGCATATTACGACCTGGTGACAATCTGGACGAATTGGTGTTCCGACAGGCGCATTCCAGGGCTTTCGACCAACAGCAGAAGAAAACTCTGTTGCTGCTGGTAGTTCGGGTGGTCGTAATTGATTGTGGTAAAAGACCCCTTTCACTTGCGTTGATTGTCGCTCCAAACCGTTGTTACTAGGCATACTGTGATTGCTTCTCGCACTCCTGCAGCGATACAACAGCTCAGCTAATAGACCAAACCACTGCACAATAACAAATTGTACCTGATGCGATTTCTGTGTGCAGTGCGAATCACTTGAGTAAAATTCCTCACTGCGTCCTTAATAGCCTGGCTGCTGTACGAAACAGCAAGCTTTTCCAGCGATAAGTTGACCCCTTCTAGTGCTTCGGTTTGTTCAGAAACCCCCTTTGTTGTAGATTTTGAGTGCTTCCTTGTCTTGATCGATGCCATGACAGCTCTCTCGATCGATGGTTCTTGTTCCTTATCGTGTCGTTTGGCTGCACAAGAAGTAGATGCCGCAAGAAAAGCTCTCCAACGTGCCACTTCGGCCTTGCGTTGGTTTATGCGTTCTCGCTCAATTTTCCTGTCAAAGTTCACCCCTTGTCCAGAGACGCTTGCTTCTTCAGCATTAATATACGTGACGACGTCCGTATGAGTCCATCCGCATGAAATTCTTCTCACTCGCTCCTTCTCAGGCAACTCAATCATGTGCGGAGAAGTGCTAGAACCGACAAGAGCATTGTTGTCTCTCAGATTTAGTCCCCACGTGTAAGCCTTTCCTGCAGACGTCACACATGTAGTATGGAATTCACCCAGCGCCACATCCTCCACTCCCTCAGCCAACAGCGACGCGGTGACCAGTAAGAACGGCCGAGATCGCGGCTTGTTGTCCTTACAACCAAGTTGTCCAAAGTCGTTGGCACCCCAAATGTACAGCAAGTCACAGTCGGAAATGACAGCCATGTGTCTTGCCCCACAGCGAACTGAGCGGACACGGACAGAAACCTCTCGCAATAGTTTTACCAGTGTCGGAGTTGCCACTCCGTCGCCCAGTTTGCCATCTCCTAAGCGACCGTCATCACCACATCCCCAAGTGTAGATGTCCCCGTTGCTAAGAGCACATGCACTGTGGTTCTGACCTGCTGCGAGGTCGAGAATGCTCTGGTCGCGCAGAGATTCGACTGCAATTGGTGTACAACTGCGCCAGCCTTTATGTTGCTGTAGCCGATGACCCAGGCCTAGTTGACCTGCTTGGTTGTAGCCCATCCCGAGAATTTGTTGCTGATGAGTCACGAAGAGTGTGTGAGCTGCCCCACATGCCACGTGTGTGACGTTGTTCCCAGCGCGTTGCACTGTGTGCATCACGCGCAATGCTCGACGGTGAGAGCTGAGTGTGGCCAGAGCGAACTGAACTTCTTGTGGCTGAGTGCGAGGCGAAAAGTCTCCCAGTCCCAGTTGTCCGTACTTGTTGCAACCCCATGTGAAGAGTTTCGCTTGGCCTGTGATTACAGCGACGTGATGCTTTCCACACGAAACATGGGCGACACTGAGAGGTTCTCTCTGCAGCTGCATGGGGAGCGTGATGACTTGCTGGGGCGTTGGTGACGACGTCGTGGTGCCGTTTCCGAGCTCGCCGTTGGTGTTGAGTCCCCAGGACAACAGTGTGGTGCCTTTTGCCTGTACTACCGCCCCCACAGAGAAATGGTAGCCACTGGCCAAGTGGCTCATGCACCAAGACGTCTCCACTGCTGCGCCTCCATCTGCTGCCTCATTGGATGTATCTTCCGGTAGAGCAGCTAGTATATCTAGCCGCGTGGAGGAGTCCGTAGTCGCCGTCTTGCGCTTCGTTGTGAGGCCTCCGAACGTAGCAACGGACACTCGAGAGGTGTGGCCTCTGTCTGCACCACAACATTGGGCGTCACGACTCGGTCGTAGTTGCGATCGAGACTGTAGAGACGGTGTGTGATGACGCTCCACTGCTGGCGATTCTCCAGTGCCTCCACGCGCACAATCTGAGGCTGGGCGAATGTATCGGGAGTGAAACACAAGCGGTCGGACGAGAGCCGCACGGAGCCGATGGCGTCGCTTGGCAGCAATAAATGCACCACCACGACGGACGTACAGGACTGACCCAGCCATAGAGAGTAGGCGGCCGATGCCCCGCCGAACGCTGTGCGCAGGAACGTGGCGCTCACCACCAGCGCATCGCGTTGCTCGAAAGCGGCGGTCGGGGTCATAAGTGCTTGCACTTGTGTACGTCACATGAGGTTGAAGCAGGACCGTTTTAGCGCACACAAAACATACATATGAAAGTGTGGTCCACGCGTTTCCGTTTGACTTGACGTTTGTATTCGGTGTATTCTGAGGGTGCGAGCATGTGGCTCAGTACGCAAAGCACCGAGAGGTCCAGAAGCCACAGCCAGAGACAATGATGCACCGCAGCTTGATGCGAACCGGAACCGCCCTGACCAAGCGCACAGCGCCGCGTCCCTCGTCGGGTGTGCGCCACTTCCGCAAGAGTGCGTCCCTGCCGTCGTTAATCCTCTTTGTGACCTATACTAATATGTCGTTGTGTCGGTCTTCAGGCGCCCCCACTAAGTACACCGAGAACAAGGAGCTCACGGGCCTGGCTGGCATCGTGGAAGGTAAAATCTATCGTCTATATTCCATCGATTGCCTGCTGGTATTAACGCAAGTGTCTTTATCTTTTGCAGCCGACAACCACGCCCTCTCGGTCAAGCTGCAGCACCTGACGAGCGTGGGCCTCATGGGCGCCGTGCCGCTCGCCTTCGTGCTCAGCCCGTCGCCACTGGTATTTCCCGTGGATCTGATACTGGGCGTGATCCTGCCGGTGCACGCCCACATTGGCATGAATAACGTCATCTCAGACTACGTGCCCAAGAACGTCCGCACACTCGCGCGTCTGGGATGGCTCGGTGCCACATCGCTCATGTTCTTGGGCCTGCTGCGTGTGAACCTGGAGGGGCCTGGCATCACGGAAGTCGTCAAGACCGTGTGGCGGGAGTCGCCCAACAAGAAGAAGCTCGAGGCGTAGATGGTCGACTGCTGAGCTTCTACGTCTCTCGTATCGTGTTGGGAACAGGAGCTATTCAACAAAGACTAAGCCGAGATGAAGGCACAGATCACAAAACTGAGGTGGTGTGACTTAAACTGAGCAGCTACTTAATACGACCTTGATGAAAAGAGCTCTACATGTACTCTTGCAATAGCGGCGTGGCTCTAATGTTAGTATCCTCCGGGAAGCCTCTAGGTGCACGTCGTCTGATTGGATGGTATCAGCAGCGTAGCTTGGCCATCGACGACGACGACGCTATTGCTCGCTTTCATGCACACGGTCTCACACTCGACAAAGCGCTTGCGGACTTTCACCACGCGGATGTGAGCTATCACCTTCTCGTCCACCAGCAAAGGTGCTCTCCAACGTAGATTCTGCTTGACGTACACGGCGCCCGGTACAGTACGGCCGAAAATGGTGGCGAAGAGACTTGCGGACAATAGTCCCTGCACCACGGGTTTGCTCTCAGCTGCGTGCTTTAGAGCGAAGTCGGCGTCTACATGCAGAGGATTATTGTCGCCTGAAAGTCGGGCAAAGGCACGTGTGTCCTCAATCGAGAAAGCATGAGTCACCTGAGCCTCCACACCAACCGCCGGGATGGTGCCCACTGGGAGCTAGCAAATGTTTCTCGTGTCAGTCAAAGCAAATGCAACACAATACAATGCAATAATAGCGTACACTCACCTGGGTAAGATCTCCTTCCACAACAAAGAGACCGTCACCGACCGACGAGCTCAACGCTCGGCAGCCCGCAGCCCGACGGGCTGACAGCATACATCGCCGCATCAGCATTTTGATTTCGTACTTAAGCGAAACGACTGTGTGGACGTTCATCATCGCAAAATGCATCGACTGTCAGCAGCGTTGACGGCGCCAACGCGTTCTTCATCGCGTCTGTCGCTGGGGCGTCTATTCAAGCAGCAGCCTATTGGTGTGTGGTGACTCTCTGGGAAGTACTTTACGATGCAGTGCTGACTTGTTAAATCTCCGTGTTATTAGAGGAATTGCCGGAGCTTAGAAGCATCTTGGCCGTGCAGAACCTGGTGGCTAAAATCCCAGAGCAACCAAAGCCGCGTCGCCTAAACGAGAATGACGCATACCGTCAGTGGATTGAGACGTACCGCAATAGTAACTCGCTGAGTGCTCAGTCGCAACTGGACAAGGACGCTTTCAACGCATTCGTGAAGGAGGCCAGCGACTACCTGCAGAAGCTGGAGAATGAGGCTTTCGACGGTTGTGACAAGATCGGACCAATGGAGGACGAGGAGCTCAGTAGCCCCAAGGCCGACGCGTTCGTGGAGGCAGTCAAGATGAAGCTGTCCAGACACATTTGCACGCAGGCAGTGTCGAGCTTTGACTTGCTGGACAAGGACAAGGATGGTAAGCGACTTTTCACTGCTTACAAGCGGGTTGCTAACATTTTGTTTTCCCTCCAACAATCAGGAAAAGTTCGTGTTGACGAGGTAGAGAAGCTCCTGCAGGTTGCAGCACATGGCAATGGAATAGAATGGCTGAAAAGTAAGTTGTAGGGCGATTCTTGTGGCAGAAGCATGAGGCTGATTTGTTGTGTTGTTCTACTAGGTCAATTTCATTTGTACGATGCAGACGGAGACGATGTTGTGAATGAGGCCGAATCGAAGCTCATTTTGGACTCCATGATCGCTACGCAGAAGGCGGTGATGACTGAGATTTTTGCTACTCACGTAAGTAGGAGATCACTCAGGCATTTTCCACCTTTGCTAACTGTGTACTCCGCGGTTGACAACTAGGTTGAGAGCATGCCCAAAAAGCACGAGAAGCTCTTCACCAAGAGCCTGTCTGAGGAGGATTTCAAGTCAAAGATCCCGGAGAAGGTGCGCTGCGTTTTCCACTTTGCCAACAAGCTGGACGAGGAGCGCAAGACATATGACTGGGAACTGTTTGAGAACTCACAGGTAAGGACCAAATGCTGTGGAAGTTGGCATTAATGAGCCAAAGACTAAACGCAGCCGTGGGGTGGTATCCTTGCAGAAGGTAGAGTTTCCTGAGCTGCACAACCTACTCGCCGTCTACGCAAAGGGTTTCTATGACGAGAGGTACGTATCGAGCGTGCAGTGTCACCGCGGAGCATTACTGATGCGTATTGCTGTCTGCAGGTTTACCTTTTATGAGCGCAAACAGGAGAAGAGGAACACGCGGTACAAGGGTCTGCTCCTCGCTGCTGCCATTGGCCTGGGTGACTACATCGCCGCTGTGATTTAGAGACGCTGCGGTTACCGGAGTAGAACAAACAAGAAAAGCAGCCTTTTAGTCAACGTCGCGTGGATTGCTTTGAAGAAATCTCATGTGTTTCATGTCGGGCTGGCCTATGAAGCTGGCCATGACACGTGGCCCAAAAATACGCTCCGTAAAAACTTGTTCATATCGTGTCTGTACCGGTTTACATCAAAAGCTTAGCTGCATAGAAAACCTGAAGTAATGGGGACTAAGGTCTTTACGCATATTAAATCCAAATTATTCTTTGTTGAAGCGGCTTTGCGGATTTCATGCTCCCCAGCTGATTTCATCCAGACCACAAGAAGCACCACTTAATTCGGACAGCAAAGTATCTTCCACGTTTGCATGTGAGCTTTTTCGCTGGTCACTTTGGATTTTCACGAGTCCTTCATAGCCAGCCAGCAGGAAGAGATACTTTTCTAGTTCGCGGGCTCGCCAAATGATGTTCATGAAGCAGGCAGCGCGCGCATTGGCGCTGCTATTCGCCGTGTCGATGGTGGTGCGTGCAGCTGAGTTCGAGGAGGAGGACGACGTGCTTGTGCTGACAGAGAGCAACTTCGCCGAGGCTGTCTCGGGCCACGACACACTGTTGGTTGAATTCTACGCACCTTGGTGCGGCCACTGCCAGAAGCTGGCGCCTGAGTACTCGGTGGCGGCTAAGAACCTCAAGGAGCTAGACCCGCCCATCCGTCTCGCTAAGGTGGACGCCACGGCCGAGAGCAAGTTGGCTGAGCAGTTCGCCATCCGTGGCTTCCCGACGCTCAAGTTCTTCAAGGGTGACGTTGAGGCCGTCAAGGACTACGATGGTGGCCGAACGTCGGCTGAGATTGAGAAGTGGGTGGTCAAGAAGTCGGGCCCTGCTGTCAAGATCGTTGAGACCGCTGAGGAGCTCGAGAAGATCAAGGAAGCCAACGACGTGGTCGTGTTTACCGTGATCGACGCCGAGGAGGGCGAGGCCCGCACTATGCTCGAGAAGCTCGCGGATACCGATGATCTGGCTGTGTACGTGGCCTCCACCAGCGCTGACGTGACGCAGGATGCCGCTGCCGTGAACAAGGTGGTGCTGTACAAGAAGTTCGACGAGGGCAAGGTCGTGTACGACGGTGAGTTCGAGAAGGAGTCGCTGGGCGAGTTCGTCAAGGGCAACAGCCTTCCGCTCGTCATCACGTTCTCGCAGGAGAAGGCCCCGATGATCTTCGGTGGTGAAATGACTGAGCACGTGCTGGCCTTCGTGGACACGAGCAAGGACTACGTGTCGGACATCGAGGCTGCTCTCAAGGCTCCGGCCAAGGCCAACAAGGGCAAGCTGCTGCACGTCATCATGCCCAGCACGGAGAAGCGCATCGTGGACTACTTCGGTCTCAAGGATGAGGAGATGCCTGCTATCATGCTCGTCAACATGGCTGGCTCCATGAAGAAGTACGGATTCGACTACAAGGCTGATGACTTTGTCGCTAAGATCGAGGAGAGTCTCGCCGATGACCTCGTTGCCTTTGAGAAGAACTACTTCGATGGAAAGTTGACGCCTCTGCTCAAGTCTGCCGACCCTGAGGACGACAGTGACGAGGCTGTTAAGGTCATTGTGGGCACGGAGTTCGAGAAGCGTGTGATCGACAACGAGAAGGACGTACTGCTCGAGTTCTACGCCCCGTGGTGCGGCCACTGCAAGGCTCTGGCCCCCAAGTACGAGGAACTGGCCGAGAAGTTCGCTGACGTGGACAGCATCATGATTGCCAAGATGGACGCCACGGCCAACGAGATCGACCACGCCGGTGTGGATGTGCGCGGCTTCCCGACGATCCTCTTCTTCCCTGCCAAGGACAAACAGAACCCGGTCGTGTACGAGGGCTCGCGCGACGTGGAAGGCTTCACGGAGTTCCTGAAGACCAACGCTCAGAAGTTCGAGCTGGACGGCTCGGAGCACGGCGCGGAGCAAGAGGAAGACGAGGACGAGGTGGAGCAGGAGGAGAAGAAGGACGCAAAGGCCGAGCACGAGGAGCTGTAGAGGAGTTTTTTAGGTATCGTTTTTTGCTGCTGCGGACAGAGAAGACACGACGTAAAAGAAATAAATGCAGAGCCTATTGAGCTTTTGATCCTTTCAGTTGGATGTTGAAGTGGTCTCTGTGCTTTGAACCGTCGCTTTATTCTCTACTAGTAGTAGATAGCAAAGTCGATAATTTGACGATGCAGAAGGTGGAGATCGCTATTCGGGTACTCAGCATATGCTACGCGGTGGGCATCGGCGTCATGATCCTTCGCTTGCAAGGCGAGGATACCAGTGAGTTGATGACTCTATCCTGTGTCTTTGTGAAGAGAAACTTAGCTGCGTTTAGGCTACATCATGCTGCAGGTGGTTTTTACTATGGTTTTCACGTGTCCCTGGTAGGTTTCACTCCCTGTTCCCCACTGCAGCAATAATTCTTATCAGTCTCGTCAACATGTTGCAGCTTGTGGGCTATCATTAGGTAACTTAGTTCAAGTCACGAGTGGCATCACCGCGTCTCACTTGCTCCTCCTGATCGTCAGGTGTTGTCGCGACTACGCTGCTCGGCGCAAGATGGTGGTGCTACCCGAGAAGAAGCCCAAGAAGAAACCCGACATTGCCGTGGCCACCGGCAAGGCAGTGCAGCGCACACAGGCCGAGATCCTCGCGGAACAGCGCGAGCGGGTCAAGAATCTCCACGGTGTGGGCGAGAAGAAGCTCAAGCCCAAGGTGCCCAAGCGCAAGGGCCCTCCCTCCAAGAAGAACTGAGCTCAGGATCGTCCACCCGGCCCGTCGCACTCGCTCCAATTGCAGACGAGCTCCACCTTGAAAGTCCAACTGTGGCGAATGGATCCACTCACACGCCCGTTTAACTAGCAAGCCGGCGGAGCGCAATACAGAGATGCAAAGGCAAAACCAGAACAAGCAGGAAGTGCGCATTTGGTTCCAACTGCTAGTGACAGCAGCACTTAATATATTTATATGAAAAGTAAATAGGGGCTGGTAAAACACACGAGCGGGCAGCACGAAGACCAAACCGAACAAGGATGGACGGGAGCAGGCCGCGCACGCACGGGCTCATAGATAGATACAGAGCGCCACCTCTCCTTTTCGCTTCCGATGACGCCTTAATGGAAGCGCTCGAACACGCTGAGGCGGGGGCTCTCCTCGTCGTTGCTGCTACTACCAGAGGCGTCCTTCGAGTCGCTAGCAGCAGCCGCAACGCCGTCGAACGGCTTGCTGTCAAGACTCAGCGATAGTCCAGTGGACCACGGCTGGGCTTGCAGATCGTCGCCCGCAAATGGCGCTGACGACGTCGACGGGAAGTCCTTCCACAGCTCATCAGACTGCAGAGAGAACTCCGTCTTCTTTGTTGCAGTAGCCGTCGATGTAGAAGCGAGAGAAGGCGAGGAGACACGGCGGCCACGACCGGCCTGGTTCGGGGTAGTCTCCGGTGGGGTAGCGGTGTCCGGGATCGGCTCGTCGTCCGAGGTGAGCGAGAACTTCATTAATGCGTCGATGGCATCCTGGAGGTCCGGGTAGCTCGGCGACGACGCGCTCTTTGCAGCGTTGTTCACCGGGACGGCTCGTTGTTGGGCGGGGGGCAGACCAATGCTGCCGAGCGAGCCCTGGTGCTTCAGCGAGGCACTCCCGTAGTGCTCACCAGCATAATTAGGGTGGAGGGAGGAGGGCGCGCTCATAGCCGGCGCCCCCCACGAGGAGCTCTTGTCCAGCGAGGACAGAAGCGAGTAGTTGTCTTTAGGATAAGAAGGCATCATTTGGTGGTGATGCGGACGAAGTTGTTGGAGATGGTGGGGAGTGGGAGGCTCGCCATAGAGACCGCCGCCGTAGCTGAGGTCCACCGATGGCGGGGGTGGGGCCATGACGCCTGCACCGAGGCCACCGAGTCGGTCCTTCTCGTGAAGGAACATGCCTCCACCCAAGTGGCTCGGGGGACTGTACTGCGGCTGCGCGTATCCCTCGGCTTCCTCGTGGATGAAACGGCAGCGGCTACCGTAGGGGCAGTGGCCTGATCCCCAGTACGACTTGCACTTGGTAGTTTTGTACTTGGGGTGCCGCACAACGTGGCGGAGCTCGGCGATGCCGTGGGCGAACTGGCATTTGGCTGTAATTAGGCGCGAAAGAAATGAGGAAGCGAGAAGTTAGTAGACTGTACGAGAGAGGGATTTATGGGTAGAGGGGGACGCACCTCCGTAGCGACAGTTGCCAAATTCCGAGAAGCGCTTGCACAGCTCCGTCTTATACAGCGACGACTTGGTGCCATTCTTGGGGCTATTCTCCTCATTCATATAGGATACGACACCCAATTCCTCGGGCGGCAGTGAGTAGCCATCAGGCCCGGCAACGCCCGCTGAGGCGTCAAGTTCCAGAAAGTTGTTGTCTTTGGGCATCGAGTAATAGCCGAGGTGGTCCATGGATGAGAGCAGCATGGCGCTTGGATTAGAACGTGGGCTTGGGAGGTCTCGGTCGGAGGGGTCGCAGGCGGGCGATACTATCGCCGACGGTCTCTATAGTAAGATTGGGATGAAAACCTCAGGGGGCACTGGCTTCTCCGACGGCCCCGACACCAGTCAGCTTCTCGAGAAGTTTGCGGGATGAAAACTAATACCAGCTTCGGAGGGGTGGATGCTGAAGTAGCGGGAAGAGGTGCGGTTCTCCGTTCGAATGTGCGTCGCCAACTCACTTGAACAAAATAAGTGAGATAGATGTCGCCCAGCCGCAGATGCAGTCAACAGCCTCGAACCAGTTCTCGAACGGCCAATGAAAGGTCATGAAGTAACGGAAGTAACACTAGTCATTTGCTTTTCGGCCAATCAGAATTAGTCCAACCGAAAATCAGGAATCGCTGACTGACGCCTAATAAAGACTGGATAATTACCACTGGTATGTATTGTGCCTTTCAGTTATTCTGCTGCGATTATTCTGGTATAGCATAATTCTATTCCCTTCCCAGCCTTAATTAATCCCTAAGGTCAGCTAATTCCATGCTATTATGGACTGTCTCATCTCCGCCGGTTTTAGGGCGAGGATGGTGAGCCTGCTTTAAGACGGAATAAGCTAATCAAGCCCGCTCCCCAATTTTTAACGCTAATTTACATTATTTTAGATCAAATATTGACGAATTAGCGTACGTTGTATTGTGTCTTTCACGCCGGTAGAGTGATAGTTCTGGCAGAATTAGATCCATAAAAAGGCTGTCAGCGCACATTTAAAGCTTATTTATTAAATAGCATAAGTCTGTGAACTCTTCCCCTACACCGCTGACCACATGTTAGATCCAATCGACGGTAATACGCCAGGTTACAGCCGGAATGGCGGCCAGCAAACCGCCAAACGCCTTCATATTGCTCGTACTCGTTCCGCAAAATATACGAAAGCGAGCAGTGGAGTTTGATACGGTTAAACCCGTACTAAATGATCACTGAGAACTGTTATATATGATTTGGAACGGATCCACCGACTTGGTAGTCAGTATAATGTATGAACCATAAGATAGCACCTGTTTTATCCACGCCTGAAACAAAACAAACCAACCAAACTGCAATTTATTGGCTCAAAGAAATATTTCACTCAAACCAAACCAAAGTTACGTGGTTTGAAGTTCAGAAACCCGTAACTCCAAACCATTTGGGCCGTTTGGAGTTCCCTGGTTCGGAGTTTCAGGTTAGAGAGTCAGATAGGTTTATCCTTCAAGTGTGTTGATTGGCAGAAAGGTGATCAAGTGACCTCTCCGATAGAGCCGCAGCACGTGCGGTAGGACAGGCCAAATCTTCAGCGACGTTTGAAACTTCAAGGCTACAGGATAGATGAAAGTCGCTATAGAGCCTTTGGCATCGACTGTGGTGTAGTAATTCCCACGGCAACTCTAGCTACTAGTGTAGGTAGGATAAACCCACAACAATACGTCTACCAGAACGGTAAACATCCTTCGGG